TGTTGTGAGGTGCCTTGGGGAGTTGTGGAAAGCATTAAACAAATACAGGCCATTCACCAAAAGAAATGTAGGTAATTTTCTCAAGAAACGTGATCAAATCCCACCAACGAATCACAATGACAGTTAAAAAACAACTTTAAAATTTAATCATACTAACTGCAGGTTATAACATAAGATTCATAAGATACAAATACACCAGAGAATCAAAGAAAAAAGATTATTTAAACGTGAAACTCAACTATTACCCTTCTTTATCTCTACTTTGATAATATTAGACTACATAGGTATCATAATACATAGTTTGTTTTTGGGCAAATTGAGCGTCAAGCCTGATGTTTCGTGTGTGTGTGTGTGTGTGTGTGTGTGTGTGAGCATACACTTGCGCACGTGTGCGCCTGTACTGCATGTGTGAGTGTTGGCTTGAGATAAGAGCCGAACCAAACCAGACGGGTCAGTGAGTTTGAAGACTTCCAGTGAAAACTGAGTCATGTGTTACAAGTTGGGTGGGGCAACTTGGTGCATTTACTGAAAACAATTCCTAATGCTCCTTCTAATGAATTGTGTATGCCGCAGTCAGAGCTACCAAAAGCATTACGTCACACTCAGAATGAAGCCAGCTGTTGACCAGCATTAACTTAAGAATCTTAATTGTTTTATGGAAGATGTAAAACACTTTTCATCTATGTTTCTGTAGCAAAAGGCCATAACGAAACTAAATGTGTTTTTTTTTCTGCAGCAAAGAATTAAAAAAGGTAAACCCAATGAATAAAGGACAGGCTATAAAAATACTATTATCATTCTCATTCAACAGCAACACAGTCTTGTATTTTTTTGCAAATCTGTGAAGACGACAGCGTTGAGGAGCCATATCATGGTAAATTAACTTTTTGGAGCTTTTTATCAAGTGGTATTGTTATTTTCTCGTGAGAAATAAACACAAAATCTAGTTTGGCTGCATTCATGCCTTTTCTTGCCTCAGCTTCAATTTGATTTCCTGCCTGCAAACAGACAACAGTAGCCCATGTGCATCATCAGGCATTTCTCCTCCCCATGAAGCTAGTCTCTGATCTTAAACCCACGCGGTGTAGTGGTAGCCTGGCAAGCCAGACTAAGAATTTGGTCTAGTTCACTAGGCTAGTGTAGTGGAGGATTTTAGCTACATTTATTAAATTAAATGATCAATAAGATGTGATATTCCATATAAATATGAATTATCAATCTGATTGGTCTTTGAATATTTGACTGAATATTGTAATCATGATGGAATGCAAGCTAGATTGTTTTAGCAAAACCTTATTAAGTATCTGGGTTGTAAAATCAGTTTGACTGTATGGTTTTGTAAGAAATTGGGGGTTAATATTGTTCCTTTTAAGCTTAATATATTAACAGACACATGTATGTAGATGACTGGTTACTGAAAAGGTCAAACTGTAGATGAAAACTGCATTCCTGGATGCTACATTTAATAAACTATGGAATATTCAGAAAACCATCCAACACCATTGTGCAGATTCTCCTTTAGCGGTCCAGGGATGAGGTAGCCTGAGTGGTGATTTCACCGGACGTCATAGTTGCAGGAATCTTAAACAGTCGTAGCTCCCTTTGAATTCAGATATCACCGACCAGAAGATACTACCAGGATCTGCAATTTAGACGCTCTACGTCTGAGGTGTGTTGTTGCGTCTGATATCACTCTCAAGCGTTGCAGAGAGGCTTTGACCTAGGTCAGAATAGATGACGGTCCCAAATGCATTGCTCACCCGGCCTAACCAAGTGAGCTGGTGAACAACTGGGGATCAGGAAGTGATCCCTATATTTATTAACTGTTGTTGACAAATTTAGACAAATATGAATTTGACAGGTTTAAAAGGGCATTACCAAAGACCTCAGAGTTAACCTCTAAGTATCTGAGTGAGGGACTGATTCTCTTAGAATGAAGTGAAAATGTTAAATATTAATAATAATATTATGACATTACTGTGTTCATACTTATCGATTAATTAATAATTCAACAATTACTGATCTGGTGTAATTTAAGACCTGAAATAAATCATTACAGGAAAAATATTAATTTCAACCCACAATGTAAAATATAGGACACATTAATCAAATACTTTGTATTTAAACATATTGTTCATTCAACAAAATATGATTATATGAAGTTTTGAAGTCATTTATGTCAGGGAACTTTATTCTGAGAGTAGAATCTAAGAACTCCTGCATCTTGCAGCCTTGAGGGCACATGACGCACGCAGGATTTGTTAAGAATATTGGCTCGAGCTCTTTTTTTCAAATCGGCACCACGGTATGAAAAAGTTGGCCTGTAAAGTAAAAGTCAACTTGTGGTCATTTTGATGACACTTGGCCTTTTGGTACGCTACTGCAGTTTGGTTTATGACGGCGGTTGGGTTTGGGCCGTAAAGCCGTTCTGCGTCGTAATGGCTGTTGTAAAGTACTACACAATGTTGTAAACAGCCTGGCACTCATCTTCAGCACAGACCGGCGCTTCTGGGACACAACGCTGCACCCTCCATGTAGCCACTCTCAGTAACTATAATGGCTTCTATTTAAAATGATGGCGCGGCGTGACGTGGCACATCTGCCTCCGGTGTGCCCCAGCCTCTGGCTTTAAGAGATTAGATTGGGGGTTAAACCATCAAATAGATCCCGAGCACAGCCACTGCTGCAACTCACCAGGGAATGGGTCAAATGCGGAGATGTAATTTCACCAGTGTGTGAGGACTAATGGTACTTTAAACCTCGACCGGTAGCTGAGTGGATATTCTGATAAGGTACTGCTGCACTGAGGACAAAACAGCTGTAAAAACCATGTATCCTGTCCACAACGATGCACGTAATGGCCACCACAGGATTTGTGGGTTAAGCGACTATTATTTTGTAACAGACTTGGCAGTCCAGTGGTTAAGAGTACCAAGACACACCCACTGGACTGCCATAGCCATTACAATACTTAGACACATTTGTAGGCGAGTTTTGTCGAAACAGTCGTGTGCAGAGCCATACTGAAACATACTATTTGATTTCTGGGTACAAATCGAGGTTGACAAAAATAACTCATTTACAATAAAATGACATCTTAATAGTGCCAACGGAATAATTTTATCATAGATTGTGTCTACCTCTGCTCTCAAAGACTTCAAATAGCATGACCTGGCTTCTTTAAGGGATAGTGTCCATGAGCCTCATTGGCTGTGTTGGGGAGAATACTGTGTAAATGTATTTAGGTACAGAATACTGAATACTTGCTTTAAAATGTATTTTGTAACATATTCCAACAATCCAGGTGGTATTATAGTCTAAATACTTGGAATACTTCCAAGTGGGAGCATGTAGTTTGACTGACATCTGTAGCAGTGAGTACGTCACATTGGTTGTTATACAACAGCATGCATAGATAGTTTAAAAGACAACCGTAAATCTCGCCCCACAACTGAGAGCCGTCAATGGACTGTGGCTAGACTATATATTCTACACAATGCAGACGCGCATTGCCAAAATGTATTTATTCATCTTTCGAGTGTAAAACACAGAAGTATTCCAATGGTATTACGAACGTAACTCTATTCTAAATACCATGTTTAAAAATAGTAAATGTAGCAATATACAGTTACTCATAATTAGTATTCAAAATACGTAATGGCTGTATACGTATTCCGTTACTCCCCAACACTGCTCATTGGTGTAGGAACTGGTCTGATGTTTTACCACAAACCTGTAGCCTCTCGATGATGTTTCTGTAGTCTTTAGACCCAGAAAGGCTCGAGTCTTGTCTTGATGTGTTTTTAGTAGATAGTTTCCAGTTGAGGATGCTCTTCTGCACAAGATTATTGGACTTGACAAACAAGTTGTTCACCTGACTGTCGAGATCTACAGGAATGGCTATCGCTCTGCTCTTTGCTGAAAAAGACAGAAATGCGATATGAAGTATGAGTACATTACATCATCATCATCATCATCATCATCAAAACAGAGAGCTTACTCAGCTATCAGTGGTGTTTCACTGCTTACCCACGTCTGACAGCACTTTAATGCAGGCCTCGACCGAGGCCTTCTGAACAGGGTTAAGCCAGCTACAGTGGTACACCCTAAACACTCCCTGAAGCAGCTGAACAAATACTGGCTGGCGAGTCTGTAAGAAAAATCAAATCAAAATATGAAGAAATAAAAACATCAGGAAAGAAGAAAAGAACATTGGTTTTAAATTCACTTTCAGATCTTTTGATCATGTTATAATGTTATTTCCTCATCAAAAATGCCCCAAAGTAAATTCTGCAACACATGCATTCTTCCCTCTGAGCTGCAGCTCCTCTTCAGGTCAACAAAGCTGTTGCAAATAGCTGGATGGAAAAGTTTTGCACCATCATGCACTGCCCCGCCCCATCCAGGTAGTGTATAACCCAGAACCCCCCTCCTCTGGACTGTAAACACAGGTTTGGCGCCAGGCCACGGGGAAATGTCACAGTCCTTGTGATGGCCAGTTCCCCATTGGCACATGTGTTCTCACAGCTGCTTTGTTCTTCTTCATGTCCCATAAGGCTTTACTGGGAATCTAGTACGGCTGCACAGTACATCACAAAAGTTTTGTAAGCGCGATATCAGCACTAAAGTCGTCATTTGCATTATTTTACTCTGTGGGCGTCGGAACGAGCCTCCGCACCGTGAGAACAAACATCCCAGCTCTAAAGCCAATCTTCATCCGTGTAAGTCACACGTCACATGATCAGGAAGCAGAAAATCCATGTGTTAGAAGATCGTTTTGGGCCGCTGCTGTAAAAAAGTGAGGCGTGAACCGGAAAAGCTTTTGTCGATTACAATTTGACAACGGATTATGAAAGAACGGATAACACTCGAAACGGTCAGATTCTTCCTGATGTAAGAGGTGTGTTTTGTTAGTTTTGGCATCATCCTAGCGCACAATGTTCTGTAACTCTTAAAAAAACTGTAAAAACTGAAAAACGCTGGCAGTGAAGGACTTTACTGATCAGGAAACGGCTGGCAGTGAATGAGTTAAATTGCCTTGATCAATCGACCCTCGCAGAATGTAATCTCTTAAAAAGCTCAAATTTTACTCAATTGAATGCTGATCCAACTAGAGTGGGCACTAGTTGTTCTTCTCTTACAGACTGGATTTCAGTTACTCACCTGGATAGGATGAGTTTTAAGACTCACAGGTCAGATGCACAGCCTGGGTCACCTTGCCCTGGCTACTACTCCAATCTGCAATGGAGTCCTGCACAGCAGACATAAAGTCTGCTACCACTCCTTTAATCTATGCAAATGGCTGCTTATCTGACTGCTATTTCATCCACAGCAAGAAGAGGACATTTCAAGATTTAAAAAAAATCATTTAAATAAACTCTTTTTACTGCTGATCATCAAGGTTCATTATAACTGTGTTTAATTACTGAAATTAATTATTATTCTTTGGTTAATAATTATTTATGATTATCAGTAATGTTTAACTATGACAAGAATCATGTGCACTTAGTCAGCTCACACAGGTCACAGTAACTAAGTTAAAGGTAACTGCACTCACATGATCTTTTCCGATAACACCAGAATTTTCTATCTTCAGGGAGGCGTGTTTCTGAGGGTTTGTTAATTCTTCCTTCTACATGTCAAAACCTGATTCGTTAGAAATGATAATAACCATCTTTTAAAACAGAACTCTCGTCAGTTGCAAGGGAGTTCTAGAGAAGGTTGGGACGGCCGCCCAACGCTCTTTAACCAAACAAGCAATTTCTGTCACGCTGGCAGAAATTGCTCAGACACAACAAAACGACACCTGCAGAACAAAGATGATGCTACGAGAGTCCTTAAGAGTCTCGTCTCTTCTCATCTCATCTTCCTCCGCTTATCCAGGTCCGGTTCGCGGTGGCAGCATCCCAACTAGGGAGCTCCAGACTGTCCTCTCCCCAGCCACCTCCACCAGCTCCTCCGGCAGGACCTCAAGGCGATTCCGGACCAGATTGGAGATGTAACCTCTCCAACATGTCCTGGGTCGACCCGAGGGCCTCCTGCCGGCATGACATGCCCGAAACACCTCCCCAGGGAGGCGTCCAGGAGGCATCCTGACCAGATGCCCAAACCACCTCAATTGACTCCTTTCGATCCAGAGGAGCAGTGGTTCTACTCCAAGTCGCTCCCGAATGTCCGAGCTCCTCACCCTATCTCTAAGGCTGAGCCCGGCCACCCTACGGAGAAAACGAATTTCGGCCGCTTGTATCCGCGATCTTGTTCTTTCGGTCATTACCCAAAGCTCATGACCATAGGTGAGGATTGGGACGTAGATCGACCGGTAAATCGAGAGCCTGGCTTTCTGGCTCAGCTCCCTCTTCACCATGACAGATCGGATCAGCGTCTGCATCACTGCAGACGCTGAACCAATCCGCCTGTCGATCTCCTGATCTCTCCTACCCTCACTTGTGAACAAGACTCCAAGATACTTAAACTCCTCCACTTGAGATAGGACCTCTCTCCAGACCCGGAGTTGGCAAGCCACCCTTTTATGGTTGAGAACCATGGTCTCAGATTTGGAGGTGCTGATCCTCATCCCAGCCGCTTCACACTCGGCCGCGAACCTACCCAGCAAGAGCTGAAGGTCAGAGCTGGATGAAGCCAGGAGGACCACATCATCCGCAAAAAGCAGAGACGAGATTCTCCTGCCACCAAACTCGACACACTCCACACCACGGCTACGCCTAGAAATTCTGTCCATAAGGTAATGAACAAAACCAGTGACAAAGGGCAGCCCTGGCAGAGTCGAACCCTCACCGGGAACAGGTCCGACTAACTACCATTTATGCGGACCAAACTCACGCTCCTCTGGTAAAGGGACTGAATGGCCCTTAACAGAAAGCCACCCACCCCATACTCCTGGAGCGTCCCCCACAGGGTGCCCCTGGGGACACGGTCATTAGAGCCCTGCACTGAAGCCCTAGGCCCTCGGGTCGGCTTCGGGCCAACGACTGTGTAATTACCTCGGACACGGGCCGGGCCGGGCGCCTTTATTTTTAATCAAATTCATAAAATAAATTGAAACACTTAAACGCAGCAGTAGAGCCCTGCGCGGGACTGTTTTCTTCATCCCGCTCCTGCTGAATTTCTGACCATTACTGCCTGCAACTGTAACGTGTGTGTTACACTCCCGCCCGCACCCGTAGCGTGCATGTCTACTCCTGCCCGCAACCGCAAAAGTCGGAGAAATTATTACCTAACAATAAAAGAGATGTATTGAGTTTGCGTCCTCTCTGGTCCTGGAGAAAACATGTCACAACCCGCGGCTCTTCCATCCATCTGATGCGGCTCTCTGTGCTTGTAAAATAATGAATGGATATTTAAATAAAATGCTTTATATTTTACTGAATTCATTTTATATCTGTAAGTCAATTCTATGTAAAGATTGTCTGCGTAAACCTGAACAGGTCCAACCCAGTCTTACTGTGAGACCGGGTTGACTATGCGTAATCATAGGCGCTTCCTGAGCTGAAGAGATTCTGGGATTCTCCTCAGACAGGCTCCTGGATGTGTCGCCACATTGGAGACAGGAACAAGCACTATTCAGCCAAAGTTTCATGATCAGAGAACATTTTCTAAGTGACAAGTCTCTCTGAGCGACAGGGTTTAGAAAACACTCGCTTCAGTGGGAGGAATCTTCCAGCATGCACTCTGGTTCTGCAACGCGCTCCAAGCCAATCTCCACAACTTCAGCTCGCTGTGCACATATGCGCTGACAGCGAGCTGCGCTGAGCAGCTCAGATGTTCAGATGGGAATCTTTTCTTGGGTGATTTAGCTACATCTACGATGTGTGTAATGACTAAAATGTCAGTTCGTCTGCATGAGTCGGGGTAATTGTTTCTATTCTTTCTCCGTCAAAATAAACCGTCAAATATGGGAACTATCCGGTCAACACAAGCCCTGCTTTTGACTGTTTTGTTTTCTTGTGAAAATTGTTGGAAAGAGATAAAATTTAACTTTATTAACACCACAGCCAGTGCGCCATCATCTCCGTGATGGTAAATGAGGGGAAAACAAATTGATCGGATCCTGCACGTCTTTTAACACATTGGTCAGGATTGACGCACTTTGTTTTCATTTAGTTGGTTAAAAAAAAGTTTGGCTCGGTCCGGGCCAGAGAATCCAGAAAACCTTTTTGGACCGGGTCGGGCTGGGGCTCCACCCCCTCGGGCCGGGCTGGACACGCGCTCAGATTTTAGGCCCGTGCAGGGCTCTAACGGTCATAAGCCTTCTCCAAATCCACAAAACACATGTGGATTGGTTGGGCAACTCCCATGCCCCCTCCATCACCCTTGCAAGGGTATAGAGCTGGTCCACAGTTCCACGGCCAGGACGAAAACCAAATTGCTCCTCCTCAATCTGAGATTCAACTATCGATCGGACCCTCCTCTCCAGTACCTTGGAGTAGACCTTTCCAGGGAGGCTGAGGAATGTGATCCCCTATAGTTGGAACACACCCTCAGGTCACCCTTCTTAAAAATGGGGACCACCACCCCGGTCTGCCACTCCACAGGAACTGCCCCGATGACCATGCATTGTTGCAGAGACGTGTTAACCACGACAGCCCTACAACATCCATAGGCTTGAGATACCCAGGATGAATTTCAACCACCCCTGGGGCTCTGCCGCTGTGTAGTTGTTTGACTACCTCAGCAGCTTCTGCCCCCGTGATTGGACAGCCCATCCCCAGGTCTCCCGGCTCTGGTTCCTCCTCAGAATGTGCGTAGGTGGGATTGAGGAGCTCCTCAAAGTATTCCTTCCGCCGTCTGACTATAGCCCCACTTGACGTCAGCACCTCCCCATCCCCACACTGTGAGCGAGTTGCTGCCCTTTTCTCCTGAGGCGCCGGACAGTTTGCCAGAACCTCTTTGGAGCCGATCGAAAGTCTTTCTCCATGGCTTCACCAAACTCCTTCCACGCACGAGATTTTGCTTCGGCAACTGCCACTGCTGCACCCCGCTTGGCTACCCGGTACCCACACCAGAGACCCACAGACCAGCCACGCCCTTTAGGCCTCCTTCTTTAGCCTGATGGCTCCCCGAACCTCTGGTGTCCACCAGCGTGTACAGGGGTTGCCACCACGACTGGCACCGGCCACCTTACGACCACAGCTAGCAACAGCTGCCTCAACAATCGCAGAGTGGAACCAGGCCCACTCAGAGTCAATGTCCCCCACTTCTCTCGGGATGCGGTCGAAGCTCTGCCAGAGGTGGGAGTTGAAGACCGTCTTGACAGGTTCTTCTACCAGGTGTTCCCAGCAGACCCTCACTATGCGTTTGGGTCTGCCAGGTCTACGCGGCATCTTCCCCTGCCATCTGATCCAACTCGCCACCAGGTGGTGATCAGTTGACAGCTCCGCTCCTCTCTTTACTTGGGTGTCCAAAACATACGGCCGCAGGTCAGATGATATGACTACAAAGTCTATCATTGACCTGCGACCTAGGCTGCCCTGGTACCAAGTGTACCGATGGGCACCCTTATGTTCGAACATGGTGTTTGTTATGGCCAAACTGCGGCTTGCACGGAAGTCCAATAATTAAACACCACTCGAGTTCCGATCAGGCGGGCCGTTCCTCCCAATCACACCCCTCCAGGTCATGCTGTCATTGCCCACTTGAGCATTGAAGTCCCCCAGCAGGACAATGGAGTCCCCTGATGGAGCACTATCTAGCACTCATCCCAAGGACTCCAAAAAGGGTGGGTACTCTGAACTTATATTTGGCCCATGAGCACAAACAACAGTCAGAACCCATTTCCCGACCCAAAGGCACAGGGAAGCTACCCTCTCGCCCTCCGGGGTAAACCCCAACACACAGGCAGAGAGTCTTGAGGCTAACAAAAAGCCAACCCCAGCCATCTGCCTCTCACCCGGAGCAACTCCAGCAAAGGAGAGTGTCCAACCCCTCTCAAGGACTTGGGTTCCAGAGCCAATGCTATGGGTCAAGGTGAGTCCGACTATATCTAGCCGGTACCGCTCAACCTCTGCTACAATCTCCTGCTCCTTTCCCGCCAGCGAGGTGATGTTCCATGTCCCAAAAACCAGTTTCCTTGTCCAGGGATCGGACCGCCAAGGGTCCCGCCTCGGTCTGCCAACCTATCCACACTGCACCGGACCCTTCATGTTCCTCCTGCGGGTGGGGGGTCCACAGTTGGATGAGTCCCTGTATCCGGTTCAGGCTGGGCCCGACCGGGCCCCATGCGCGAAAGCCCGGCCACCAGGCGCTCGCTCACGGGCCCCAACCCCAGGCCTGGCTCCAGGGTGGGACCCCGGTAACCATCCGGGTTGGGTACTCCGATTCTTTGATTGTACATCCATGAAAGATCCTCTGAAGAATCTGCAGACGCAAACCAATTCCACCTGTGTGCCTGAGGCATCTCTAGGACCGGAACGAGTCGGTACCATCGGTCTTCCCTATCGGACCCATTACCCTGAGGCTGTTCAACATCCTCCTCTGACCTCCGGATCCACAACGAGGGTCGCCTGACGGTGAGGTAGAACACAGATTGCGTCTGAATGCTCTTTAAGAAGAACAACTTAGCTTATTGACAAAACCACATTCTTTTTCACCCAGAACACGTCCTTTCTCCAAGATACACGTTCTGAGACATTGCTTCACCCGCAAACAAAACACACTTCACCTTAGATTCATCCAAACACAGGGTTGTTTTTGATACCAAAGCTTTTATAAATTGTCTTTTATAAATTGTCTTTTAAATTGTACGTTTAAATTGTTTAGTAATAAATTTCTTAACCTTTTTAAACTTGACTCTTTCTTGAAATAAACATGGAATGGGTGAATATTGATCAATGAACAAGCAAAGATCTTTATATCTTCTGAATTAACAAATAACTTTTGCTATTAAATTAAATCTTTAGAAATAAATATCATAATCTTTTGATTAACATAGACCAAGCAAGGTGGTGTATGAATTTATGGCTGCTATATATATATATATATATATATATATATATATATATATATATATATATATATATATATATATGCGCATGTAAATTTCATTCGTTCATTTGTTTGATCTTCTTCGGAATTAAAACACAAGCTGATAGCAACAGCCTTTAATTCCTAGATATGTAGTTCATTGACCCTATATATTAATAAGCTACCTTGAGTTTATTTGATGTAAGGTAAGAGGACTGTAGGGTAAGAGGACCCCCTCGAACACGAGATGTTTCATCTAAAGCGGTTTCATCCTCATGAAACATAAGTTTATAAATAAAATAAATAAAGGTAAAATTCAAGACACTGTAGGGATACTTATTCCTAGCAGACAGGCCAACAACGTCAGGTCCAGCAGGTCAACAAACCCTGAACGTGACTCAACACAACGTAACAAATAAAGCTAATTTCTACTTGGAAATGACTTTTAAGCGCAACAAATACCTCTGTTAACTTTCCAAGAATGGCTGCCTGTTACAGGAGAAATGGAAAAATGTCACTAAATCATAAAGTGCAAACTTATTCAAAAAGGAGATTCTACATTTTCTATTGGAACCAATGCAAAACAAACTAACTCCACAAAACAAACAGCAAAGTGATGTCCTTTAAGCAGAAACCTTGCTCTACTGTACTGTTTCTGTTCAAAGGATTTGGAAATCTAAGGAGGATAATGGACATGTTTTATTGTAAAAGGTATGGGGAACCAGAAACAGCCACAGAACACATTGCATCAGTGCAGGATCTGAATCACAATCCAGAAAAACCTTGTGCAACACACCAACACATCTGGGAAGGAGTCTATGTGCTGACTAATCAGTGGAAACATTAAAACCAACACCGTGGATCCTTTTTCATCATTCAGATGGAATACTAAAAGAACACACCCAAAGGTGGATACAGAACTGGGGTTTTCATTACTTACATACATATGACGTGCCATCTGTGTACAGGGGAGAGTGTCATGTTGGCTCAGCCTCTTTAGAGCAAACTCAAGTGACTGCTTGTATTATGTAAACGGAATCCTTAACCATTTACCTGCAAGCTTGTGCTCTGGTCAGAGAAAGGTGAACTGAAGAAACATGTGACGATGCTCATGATAGTCTCGGTTACATAGCGCTCCAGCATGGTGTCTGCATGCTTCCTGTCACTAGTGTTGTTGCAAACCTAGAAAATAGCAGAGATAACAACAGCATGAGGTAAAAACCACAATATGATGACCTATATGTTTGTTGTCTGCATGCTTTGGTATGATGTTGAGATTGTGTGAAAATACTTTGTCTTACCCTGCAAATGTCTACTAGGAAGTTCTCAAACAGCTTCCACATGTGGTTGGATGTATAGATCTCCTTCATCTCCACCTCTGTGTCCACATAACAGTGGTTAAGAAAGTTGATATAGGCGATCTTCACCTGGTAGGAATACAAACGTTAAAAAATGCTAACACACACACACACACACACACACACACACACACACGCACACACACACACACACACACACACACACACACACACACACACACACACACACACACACACACACACACACACACACACACACACATTATATACGGTATATATATTAGGGGTGTGCCGTACACCTGACATCCCGGTTCGGTACATACCTTGGCTTAATATTACGGTTCGGTACATTTTCGGTACAGTAAAAAAAAATTAAAAACGCTTTTGTGTAAACAGTAAATTCTTTATTTACATTTAAGTTGAACATTTACTTGCATTACATTCTGCGAGACATTCCCAGTAAATAAAAATTAACATACATAATGTTTAACATAAAAATATAGACTGGTTTCAATATTTTTTTATTGGAAAAATGCAGCATCAACATTTGACTTGCTCTTTACAAATTAAGTGCAACTGAAAGAGCTGGCTTAACTACTGAAATAAAAAAATATTTTGTGCATACAAGCAAAACTAAGAATTTTTAAAGTGCAACTATTCTTATAATCTCTTGAAAACTCTTTAACATGTAGTCTGAGAAAAAATAAGATAAAAAATAAATATATGCAAGTTTAAATATTTATTTAAGAATCTGCAAGATGACAATTGTGCTGGTTTTTCTGAAGAACAAAGTGTAAATGAAGGAACAAACGGAATTATTCAGATTGAAATAGGTTAACAAAAACATTCTGCAACATTAGGAGTTCCAGCTTGTTGCCTTTTTAGGTTCACTCAACCTTCATGTTTTTTGCCAGAAATTAGTCCACATTGTCTGCAGAAAGGGCAGATCTGTTGGCTCTTACAATATCTCCAGCAGTAGAAAAACCCCTCTCGCTGGGGACAGAGGACGCTGGTATGGCAAGGTAGCATTTTGCTAGCTTGGCAATGTGGGGATACATGTGTTCATTGCTACATGTCTCACCGGGAAGCCTTAGTGTTCCCAAACAGGAGACTTTAATGACAACGGTGGATATTCGAGCTCTTCCTCTCCCGAGTCGCTCGCCATAACTTCTGCGGCGCTCCACTATGTGTTCAGTTAGCATGCTGTAGGTTAATATGCAGCACAATTAGAGTAGAAACCCGTATGAAAGTGCGTACCGGACCGACAGGGGCATACCGACACATTCGAATACACAGAGGCGTACCGGCCCGCCACTAATATATATATATATATATATATATATATATATATATATATATATATATATATATACACACACACACACACACAATGGCATGTCGCTCAGGAAAGTATTATATATTTATACCAGAATACTTCTGAATACATGAACCGAAGTCTGAATATATGGACCAAAATCTAAATGTATGGGCCAAAGTCTGAACATATGGACTGAAAGCTGTGCTTTCAGTGGGTTCGGATTGCAACAACATGCACCGCCACTTCAAACTCTCTGACCTCTCGGCATACTTTTTTCTAGGCGGTGCACACTGGTAAATTTTCGGGTCATTTATTAGTCGAAATCGCCGAGTTCTAAAAAAATATCTGTCCCTCTAACATCAGCCATCCACGGTCCGTGCCCAACGCAGCCACTCCCGATAAGTTGGACACGCGCTCCATGAAGGTCCGCATTTTGCGCAAAAGGTGCATCACTGCCGTGAGACGCACAGCGAATTCAGCCCCGTCAGCACAGACAGAGGAGACACAAAAAGAGACGAGTTATCGACACTGCGCACGTTCCTGCAATGACAGCAGCAGCACCTGAACAGCCAGTGGTTCAATGGTTAAATGCTCCGACAGGCAGGGGGATGGAGCTGGACATACATCCAAACAGAAATATAGATCATTAGCAAACTCCGAGCGGGTTGGAGGATACTGATCGCTACTGCAGTCAGCTCGATTTCCGACGAGGAATATTATATATATATATATATATATATATATATATATATATATATATATATATATATACATACATACACGCACACACACAGGTCCTCCTCAAAAAATTTGCATATTGTGATAAAGTTCATTATTGTCTGTAATGTACTGATAAACATTAGACTTTCATGTATATTAGATTAGTTACGCACAACTGAAGAAGTTGAAGCCTTTTATTGTTTCTAATATTGATGATGTTGCCATACAGCTCATGAAAACCCAAAATTCTTATCTCAAAAAATCAGCATATTTCATCCGACCAATAAAAGAAAAGTGTTTTTAAAACAAAAAAAGTCAGTCTTCAAATAATTATGTTCAGTTATGCACTCAATACTTGGTCGGGAATCCTTTTGCAGAAATGACTGCTTCAGTGCAGCGTGACATGGAGGTAATCAGCCTGTGGCACTGCTGAGGTGTTATGGAAGCCCAGGATGCTTCGATAGCGGCCTTAAGCTCATCCAGAGTGTTGGGTCTTGCGTCTCTCAACTTTCTCTTCACAATATCCCACAGATTCTCTCTGGGGTTCAGGTCAGGAGAGTTGGCAGGCCAACTGAGCACAGTAATACCATGGTCAGTAAACCATTTACCAGTGGTTCTGGCACTGTGAGCAGGTGCCAGGTCGTGCTGAAAAATGAAATCTTCATCTCCATAAAGCTTTTCAGCAGACAGAAGCATGAAGTGCTCCAAAATCTCCTGATAGCTAGCTGCATTGACCCTGCCCTTGATAAAACACAGTGGACCAACACCAGCAGCTGACATGGCACCCCAGACCATCACTGACTGTGGGTACTCGACACTGGACTTCAGGCATTTTGGCATTTCCCTCTGCCCAGTCCTCCTCCAGACTCTGGCACCTTGATTTCCGAATGACATGCAAAATTTGCTTTCATCTGAAAAAAGTACTTTGGACCACTGAGCAACAGTCCAGTGCTGCTTCTCTGTAGCCCAGGTCAGGCGCTTCTGCCGCTGTTTCTGGTTCAAAAGTGGCTTGACCTGGGGAATGCGGCACCTATGCCCCATTTCCTGCACACGCCTGTACACGGTGGCTCTGGATGTTTCTACTCCAGATTCAGTCCACTGCTTCCGCAGGTCCCCCAAGGTCTAGAATCGGTCCTTCTCCACAATCTTCCTCAGGGTCCGGTCACCTCTTCTCATTGTGCAGCGTTTTCTACCACACTTTTCCCTTCCCACAGACTTCCCACTGAGGTGCCTTGATACAGCCCTCTGGGAACAGCCTATTCGTTCAAAAATTTCTTTCTGTGTCTTACCCTCTTGCTTGAGGGTGTCAATGATGGCCTTCTGGACAGCAGTCAGGTCGGCAGTCTTACCCATGATTGCGGTTTTGAGTGATGAACCAGGCTGGGAGTTTTTAAAAGCCTCAGGAATCTTTTGCAGGTGTTTAGAGTTAATTAGTTGATTCAGATGATTAGGTTAATAGCCCATTTAGAGAACCTTTTCATGATATGCAAATTTTTTTAGATAGGAATTTTGGGTTTTCATGAGCTGTATGCCAAAATCATCAATATTAGAAACAATAAAAGGCTTGAACTACTTCAGTTGTGTGTAATGAATCTAATATATATGAAAGTCTAATGTTTATCAGTACATTACAGACAATAATGAACTTTATCACAATATGCTAATTTTTTGAGAAGGACCTGTATATGTGTGTGTATGTGTGTGTATGTCTGTGTATATATATCTGTACAGACAGACAGACAGACAGACAGACAGACAGACAGACAGACAGACAGACAGACAGACAGACAGACAGACAGACAGACAGACAGACAGACAGACAGACAGACAGACAGACAGACAGACAGACAGACAGACAGATAGATAGATAGATAGATAGATAGATAGATAGATAGATAGATAGATAGATAGATAGATAGATAGATAGATAGATAGATAGATAGATAGATAGATAGATAGATAGATAGATAGATAGATAGATAAGAGACAGACAGGACAGGAAGATAGGAAAATAAAAACCAAGAAAGCAAAACACAGTTCTTAAAACATAAAATGTAGGTAGATTGATCCCACTACACATTTGTACCTATATAAAGCAATAACGTATCAGCATGTAGTATTTATATAGTTGATACAATTCAGATCATGTTCAAAACTCTGTCCCATGCCCAGGGACGTATCTAAGCATTTTGGGGACAGAGGCAAAATAGGCACCTGCCAGGTATTTTAAGTTGAAGCGCTATCTGTTTTTATATTAGACTTTTTATATTTGCAATAAAGTCCAAAAGTGAAGAATTTATGTTATGTATTACTTGATTGTTCAAGCTACTTCACAGAAGTGATCTGTTGTTAAAAATAAAAATAAAAAGACAATTAAATAAAAAATAAGGAACATTCTGGAACTGTTTCTTCCTTTTCTTTCTTTCTGTTTTTATGTATTGAAAGTATCGGATCGGGACTCGGTATCGGCAGATTCTCAAAATCAAATGACTCGAACTTGGGAGCAAAAAAAACCTGATCGGGACATCCCTAATATATATATATATGTATATATGTATATATATATACATATATATATATATGTTTTTTTTTTGTTTTGTTTTGTTTTTCTCCACAGAAAACATTCATTCATACTAGCGACCACAGCAGATTTATTGATATAACGAGTGAATGAAAGCTTTTAACATTTAACCAAATTACTAAACAAGTAACTGGTTTGCTGTTTTTTATTTTATTTTTGGTTTTGCAAAAGGTGCATTTCAACAAAAAATATTTTGATACATATCAAGTTGGGTATATCATACCTCTGGGATACAGTCCTCATGGGTGACAACCCGTACAATATCATCCAGGGGAAGCAAGGAGTTGCACTTTATCTCAGTGTAGACGTTCTTGCCCTCGGTGCAGACAGCCAGCAGCTCAACCAGGTGGATGTGATACATCAGAGGACTGCTCTCATCCATTCGGTCCCGCTCTGAACGCATCATCTGGACCAGGGTCTGGAAAGAGGCGCGGTCGTTGTAGAAGACCAGGACATCTTCACCAGAGTTCACCAGCTGAGTCGAAAAGAGCAATCATGGAGGTACATGTTGGGATAAAGAAGGCAAGGCTGTAGTGAATGGACATATGTGGGTATAAAATGCACTGGAAGAACTAAATATGGTGGCTGCAAAAACCACACAAGGCCTGATCTGAAACCAGGCTGGTTTTTCCGTAGACCACACTGAACCGACCTCTGCCATGACGATGTCCTGACACTTCTTGATGAACTTGTTTTCCGCTTTAACGATGGTCTGCAGAAATTTGAGGTATTGCACATGTCGACCATGTGTCTCTGTACAGTGGACGAAGTGCTGAACTACTCGCTCACTGATCTCACTGCACAGCTGGAAGTTATTCATAAAGATGTGCTGCATGGTGACAGCCTCCAGAATCTGTGACCATGGAAAGAAGCACACAGATCAGTGGTGTTATCTGGAAAAAAGCCAACATTTTAGATGGCTGCAGTACTCACTCCTGGGTTAAGAAATAGGTTGATGTGCTTATGTAGTAGAGCCTGGTTCTGTTGATTCCCTGCACAGAAGTTCTGCAGGAATTCATGAGCTAATTTCATGATGTCCTGCATTTGAACGTCCTCCCCCTGGCACAGATCACGGACAGTTCATTTGTAAATATCTGCAGAGCTTAAAACTATTTTGTGATTTACGTCAGAATCTGGGTTTTGCACCTTCTCATAGGGGATTTGCAGGAGCTCCAGCACCACACTATGAGCTCCCATATTCCTCAGAAGCCTCTGCTGCTGTTTCTTGCACTTCCTTCCTGAAGATCCCTCCTGGACACACAGCTTACTGAGGCGAACAAGGATCTAAACACAAGACAGCAGCAGGGTTTAGATACAAAAAGAGATTTAAAATAAAACCACTTTGAAAAAGAGGTATACCTCTTTTACAACTCTGTAGTTGTAACTGCTGGTGCTTTCTGATGTCTTCCTATCTGAACCGGGAGAATCTCCCTATAGAACCGAACAATTGTAACATGTTGATCTGCTCTGTCTCTTTACATCCTACATGCCTTATGCTGAAGCTAATAAAAAGTGCACCTTCTTTTTGTTGTCAGACTCTGAAGGTCCATCTCCATCCATCCCATCTTCTCCTTGCCTTTTGTAAACCCACAGTTCAGACTTCTCCACAATAGAGCGCAGTTGGTCCAGGTCTGACTTGATCTGCTTGTAGTTCTCAACATCCTGACTGGTGACCAACAGTTGGACCTAAAAAAGAAAAGCAAGACTCATCTCATTGTGCTGCAGCTACGTATGTGTGTATGGGTGTCCTAGAGGCTTGAGTGCAGTCAGTTTACTTGTTTGAAGGCCATGAGGACCTCCTGTCTCTGGCTGAAGTGTCTGAAGAGCAGGTGAAGAGCTCCAGACACAAGGGGTGGGTAGTCGTGCATGGTCAGGTGCAGCAGGACCCGAAGGAATGTGCGACCTCCATGGTCGTCCAGGTCTAGAGGAGAGTTTTCCTCGCTTTGAGAAGAAAATAATAACGCGTTGATAGATGCAACTAGATTAAACGTAAAGCTTTAGTGAAGCAGCTGCAACAGGTCTGGAAATTTCTAAGCTACCTTCCACCAAAGATTCCTTCTGCTTGTTCCTCAATGTTCTCAAAGTCTAAATTTCCTGGAAGTAAATCAAAAGGAGGAAACACCTATCAGATTAATGAGAACAGAAAACGACTCAAGTGTTAAACGATGTGGTGTAATACCCGGCATCTGAGCCGTAACGTTGTTGGTTCCATTGGGACTGGTGGTGGTGTCTCTTTGGGGGTTGTTCTCATCAAACTCGCGTTTGAAAATACAGAGCAGGCAGGAAATCCTGTAGTCCAGCCGCACGTTTAAAATAAACTATAGGAAGTAATGCGAGGTCACTATATGAACTCAGGCTAGGCTTTGAGAGTAAATTTCTTTGGGGGGAGGGGTCCTACCTGTAGAATCTCAATGATCTTGAGTTTTGTGTCCATGACCATGATGTCCTCCCTCTCAGGTTCAGCTTGAGTTTTCACCACTTCTCCCTCAGGCTGATGGGTCGGTGTGGTGGGCAGCAAACCACCTCCTCGCAGCACCACCTGTGTCATCAGCTCCCCCACTTCATGAATGGACTTCATGACGTTACTGCCTGCTACAAAACATACAAGCACAAAGTCAAAGTGTAGTCTGCTTTCTTGGTCTTTTATTCATCTAGAATAAGAAAAAACAGCGACGCAAGTCGAAAAACTCTACACTTACCTTTATTTTCATCCTCCTTCTCAATCTTGTTTATGGGGTAAACAGTGCTGACATGCACACAGTCTAAAATGTTCAGAAGGATTTTTGTCAAGCGCAGCAGGTCACTGAAGTTGTAGAAACCAAAGTATATGAGGTTCCTCGCCAGGTTCACAACCTGCAACGAAGTCAGTAAAACTGAATAATTAATCATCTGCCTAACCTAAGTTCCTATCTGTTCACACGGTAGTCAGAGGAGTTACCTCAAAGGTCAGCTTGTTTTTCTCTTTGTCAGAGAAGGGAACGTTCTGTGACACCACTTCCCTCAGGTAGTTCTCCACAAAATCCATGGTGAGGCTGAACCGTTCCTTGATCTCATCTCGGGTGGTTCCATCATTGTCGTAGCTTTAGAGAGAAGAAGCTCATTGATGAGAAAACATCTTTAGAATGACAACCGCGTGCCTAAATCACAGACGAAATACGATTTACTCACTCATCAATAGCTATTTGGGATGGAATCTCAGACCACAGGCGGGCATATTTGACAGGTGTGACCTGCTCCTGAGGGTCCCGGTCCACGTGCATGTGCAGCATCAGGCGGCAGAAAGACGCCCGCAGATCATACGGCAGGTCCTCATCAGACATGCATCGCAGGATCAAATCCACATCCAGCTGACCAGAGATCTTGTTGATGGCCAGGTACTGACGGTCCAGACACATCCGGGCAAAGAGGTTCAGCTGGCACCTGCAGAAAAAAAGGGAAAAACAGAAACGCACCAGATTAGGAGTCATTCCTTTACCATGAATCCTATTTAACAAAGAAATACATCTTACCTGTAGTAGCTGACCACTTCTTGATCCTCCTTCTGGCCCTCCCTTGCATCCTGGGCCAACTCACGAACACTCTTATTGCGAATCTCCTTGCAGTTGTCTTTCCAGAACAACCAGACCTCCTCCTCATCTTCCGCCTCTACAGGAGCCTCCCCATTTACTCCTGCCTCGATCTCAAACCTCGACAACACCAATCTGAGCAACAGCACAAAAGAAATCTGACAAATCTTCTTCATTTACGTGACAAGTTTATGATTTAATGCTCGTGAAAAGCTCAGCAAAGGGCACAATCTTGACTAACAGTAAAGTTTCAAATTAGAAAATTATTAGACAAAATATCAAAACAGGGCTCCGAAGGGAAATATGGTGTTGGGTTAGGGTTGGGCGAGTTGAATAATTTTTCCCACCACCAATAATCAGTCCAAAAAAAGACGATGGACAATTTATTCGTGCATGTGACGTCATGACGCACGGACTGATGTGCACACACAGAAGAAGACCAAAACATAGATTTTTTTTATACAAGCGAGTGCACACGTTTACTGGAAGAGAAATTTAGATTTTTGTTTTTGGTTTAATTTTGTATTTGTAGTTTGGTAGAGTGGCGTATAAAAGGCTCATATTAAACATGGTTAAAGTTTTAAAAAGAAGCCTCGTCTTTGTGCACACTATTAGGGTATATTGTGGATAGTATTTTTCTTGATAAAGTAGATGAGAGTGAAAAATTACAAATAGTGCAACAGTGTCCGAACAGCATTTTGGACAAGCTGAAGACTTTTAACTACATTCTGTGGACTTCCTGAGAGTAATGAATTACAGTAATCCAGTCTTGATGTAATAAATGCATGAACTAGTTTTTCAGCATCACTCCTGGAAAGGATGCTTCTAATCTTAGCAATATTCCGAAGGTGGAAAAAGGAAATCCTACAAACCAGTTTAACCTGGGATTTGGACGACATGTCCTGGTCAAAGATAACACCAAGGTTCCTTACTTTGTTACCGGAGACTAATTTAATGCCATTCAGGTCAGGTGATTGACTAAGCAATTTCCTTTTCTGGATTTCTGGTCCAAAGATGAGAACTTCCGTCTTGTCTTGATTTAAAAGCAAAAAGTTCTACGTCATCCAATTTTTTATGTCTTCAAGACAAGCCTGTAATCTACCCAACCGATTAGGTTCATCAGGGTTAATGGATAGATATAACTGAGTATCGTCAGCATTACAGTGGAAGTTTATCCCATGCTGTCTAATGATTTTACCAATTGGGAGCATATACATAGTAAAAAGAATTGGTCCAAGCACTGAACCTTGTGGTACTCCACAAGTAACCTTGAAGTATGAAGAAGATTTGTCATGTACATTTACAAAATGAAATCTATCAGACAGGTAGGATTTAAACCAGCCTAGCACTGTTCCTTTGATCCCTACAACATGTTCAAGTCTTTCTAAAAGGACATTGTGATCAACTGTGTCAAAAGCAGCACTGAGATCTAACAAGACTAGAACAGACACAAGATTCTTATCTGAGGCCATGAGAATATCATTTGTAACTCTCACTAATGCAGTTTCAGTGCTGTGATACTCTCTAAAAGCAGACTGAAATTCCTCAAACAGATCATGCTCACATACTTGGATGACCACTATTTTCTCCAGGACTTTGGATAAAAATGGAAGGTTAGATATTGGTCTATAATTCAATGGGTCATCTGGATCTAGAGAAGGCTTCTTAAGTAAAGGTTTGATTACAGCAACCTTAAAATCTTGTGGTACATATCCATTTACTAAGGATAGATTGATTATATCTAGAATGGGGGCAGTAACCAAAGGAAATGCTTCTTTAAATGATTTGGTTGGGATTGGATCTAAAATGCAAGTTGAAGGTTTAGATTAAGCTAATATTTTTGATAAATCTGAAAGCTCAACTGGATCAAAACGGTTCAAACACAGATGAGGTTCTACAGTCACCTCTGAAGCTGCCTCACTTACTGAGGAAGAAGAAATCGCATTAGGGAGGGTGCTAAAGATTTTGTTTCTAATAGAATTAATTTTACTTGTGAAAATTCCCATAAAGTCATTGCTGCTGAGGGCTAAGGGAATAGATGGCTCAGAGCTATGATTCGGTGTAAGTTTAGCAACTGCACTGAAAAGAAATTTAGGATTATTCTTATTCTCCTCGATTAGCGATCAAAAATAAGCAGTTCTAGTTTGTTGAAGCTTATTTTTATAAAGCACAAGACTATTTTTCCAGGATAGGTAGGCCTCCTCATGGTGCGTAGAGCGCCATGTTCTCTCCAATTTCCTAGAGTTTTGTTTTAAAGCTCGTAAATGAGAATTAAACCAGGTAGCTAACTTCCTGTCCCTAATTACCTTCATTTTTAAAGGGGCAACATCATCTAATGCCACATGTAAAGATGAAGTAACAATGTGAACTAAAGCATCAATTTGTGAAGGGCTAGAAAGAAAAATATTGCCTTCTGATACTTTCCTCTGAGATGCTGAAGATAGTAAAGTTGGAACAGTTGATTTAAAAGATGCAACAGCATTGTCAGATAGAGACCGACTATAGTGAAATTTACTTTCATGTCTCGAGAACTCAGTTATAAAAAACTCAAAGGTTATCAGAAAGTGGTCAGAGAGGACTGAATTATGTGGAAAGATCATTATTTCCTCACACTCTATGCCATAAGTCAGCACAAGGTCCAATATATGATGACAGGAATGGGTGGAGCTATGTATTGTTTGAGTAAAACCAATTGAGTCTAAGATATTACTAAAGGCTACATTGAGGCAAAAACCAAGATTCCGAACAGCGATAATGGAAAGATGTATCACAGTTAAAGGTGTCTATTTATGGAATAGACTTGACAGTGAAATAAAACAATCTAAATCATTTTCTGTATTTTAAAAAAGTGTCAAATATATCATGATGACATAATAAGACCTTAAGAAGGCTGATAGATTTGTTTTGTGTTGGTGTGGCGGGTAGGTGAACGACAGGCTTTGAGTTGAACAGCTAATGTCTTGATGTGAAAAAGGGGCAGATAAGTTTTTGCTTCTTTCTGCTCCTTTTCATTTATGATTATTTGTGAACATGAATTGTTTTAATGTAACTTTTATTTGATTGATTGAATGAAATAAACAAAAAAATGAAATGAAATGAAATGAAATGAAGTGTATTTTGTTTAAAACGTTTTAACCAAACGAAGGCTACTGGGGTTCTTTCTTTTAGGAGTAGGAAATGGAATGAATCGCTGCTGCGTTTGGACGCACTCTGAGGAGGCAGCATGTGCTCGCTGCCAGAGGCCGCACGATCCATTTATCCCCGTCACTTTCATTTTTAAAACAATGAATAATCATTCGTTAAATTCCCATTCATTTTAATTAATATTTAGTCTTAACAATCAGAATCAGAATCAGAAAAAGGTTTATTGCCATTGCCAGTGAACAAACAATTCACAAACTAGGAACTTGCTTCAGTACTAACGTGCTACATATAACATGAATAATATAATTAAAAATAGAATAAAGTAGAATAAAATATAATAAACTAGCATAAAACTTTGCTATAAAAAAGGCAGGTAATGGTAATATGGCCGATAACGTGACGTTATGTAAAGTACAGAAGACGAGCATGGTTGTGTATTTATAAGCTGTTCACAAGTCTAACGGCAGATGGAAAGAAGCTGTTCTTATGGCGAGAGGTTCAAGCTGATCAGAGTGCCCCAGTAACACAAACAATGCAATGAAACGATTTCACTTAAAGTAGGAATATTTCACCTGCTGTGGCCCAAACACATTTTCCTTCTGCTCAGCGTAAACCTGGACTGGTCACCAGCAGCCTGTGTGTAATCAAATATCTCTAGAGAGCTGGATGAAGAGGTTACGAGGTTCTGAGTTTTTGCCTCAGACAGACTTGTGGCTGTTTAAATGTTGTTATGGATGGATCTGTGCTCCACAGACACACTCGAAGCAGGAGCTGAATAACAAGCGCTACTTAAGCCTAGGGATGAGCGAGTACACAACTATCTGTATCTGTTCAAACATCTAAATTATCTGTATCTGTATCTGTACTCGGAGTGGCCATGGCCTAACCCAGAAGTGGGTGTGGTTTACATCGATACATTATTTTAAGTCTAAAATTGATATGGACTGATCAGAAGTTGCTGTGTGTATTGTTCATTTGAAAACTATTTACAGAGCAGCTTCAGAGTTGAGATTAAATGTTTTTGATCGCAATAGTAAAGGAACTTTTACAGAACAAGTTTTTCAATAAAATCAGAACATTAATATTTAAGTGCATGAATTAATACAGAGAGAGAGAGAGAGAGAGAGAGAGAGAGAGAGAGAGAGAGAGAGAGAGAGAGAGAGAGAAGAGAGAGAGAGAGAGAGAGAGAGAGAGAGAGAGAGAGAGAGAGAGAGAGAGAGAGAGAGAGAGAGAGAGAGAGAGAGAGAGGAGAAAAAAGACAAACTCGACCGAAGCGGAGCGGAGGCAGTGACCGACGCAGCACGGGCCGTAACGAAAACAGTAACTTTAAATATCAAACCGAAAAAGAGGCGAGCTGAAGAAAATCTAGGGAGTACTGAAGAAACGTGAGCAACAGTGAAGCAAGCACAGAAAGATTCGTTACTGTCTATGTGTGTGCGTGGATGGGTCGGACTGAGACTGCAGTTTTGTGTGTAAGGAGGGGCGGGCGCTCGATGTGACTGGCCAATCACAGAGCGTGAAAACAGTTACCCAATGAGGATTTTCCTTCAGCACGATTACAGATATTTACGAGTTTTACTCGTTTCATGCTCGTATTCGTCAAAAATGCTTTATCCGTACCGGATACTCGTCATAAACAAGTATCCGGCTCATCCCTACTCAAGCCAATAACCAGAAGTCTTCAGGCTCTCTGAAAGATTAACGGGTTTCCACTTTCCACTCAACACCGTGCTGCTGTGCACAACGCTCTCCGAGCTCCTCCTCAGCACTGTCAGCAAAATGTAGGATTTAATGAATTTTGAAATTATTATTAGGTTTTGTAATCATAAAGTTTACATGGTAAGGCTCCTAGAGTGCCCATTGACCTTTTGGTCAGGTTCAGTAACTCACAGAGGGATACTCTGGTATTAATATTCTAGACTCAAAGTGTCACACTTTCATCAGCTGAGGAATCCAAAACACCTGCAAATGGTTCCTGGGCCTTTAGATGATCTCTCAGTCTAAGATTAATTACTGAAATAAATTTACTTTTGCACCATATTCTAAATTTTCAACCTTCACCTGTAGTGTCAAGGTGTGTTTTTCATAATGTTTAACGCTTAATCATACACAAAATAATTCTATTCTAATAAACTGGAATTCAGGTAAGAATAAGGAGCTCACTTGGTTTCGATGAGGATGTCAGAGTTACTAGAGTCCAGAACTGCGTTGCAGATGAGCTCCTGTGTCACTGGGATGGATTTATTCATAGACACACACAGATCTGACAGGTAGTCCAGAAACCTGCCACCATATGAGAAACATATTCCCAATTAGTGTTGTGGAAATTAGAGTTAGATGATGCGTTGGTATGTTTTCACATTTACTGTACATACGTAGGAAACAAGAGGAAAAACACATCAAAACTACTCTACAGGACAGAGTAGTTAGAGACAGTTCATAAACAAACCTTAAAGGTGTGGTTCACTCGTTTGCATTTGCAGTGGTCTCTAGTAGGAGGAATGAATGCCTTATAAGTCATACTCTGGGGAAAGTAGCTTAGATGTGCCTGTTTCAGGAAAAAAGTTGCTTCAGACGGCAGGATTTGACTTTTATTTCCTGATATTTGGACATCTCGCCTTGGATTACATAGAGATTAGATAACAGAAGCGCAGCTCTACCACTGACACTGTTTGCTCTGAAACACTGGTAAATTGCCTGTATTTCTATGGTGCATTTTTAGGGTTCTACAACTCCCCAAGGCACTTCACAACACAATCTCTCATTCCCACGCTGGTGATGATGACCTACAATGTAGTCACAGCTTCCTTGGAGCGCACAGACGAAAGCAGGACTGCCAAGCACTGGCGCCACGGTCTCTTTGACCACTACCAGCAGGCAAGGTGGGTTAAGTGTCTTGCCCAAACACACAACAGCAGCATTCTCTGGCAGAAGCCAGGATCGAGCCTGCAACCTTTTGTAATGTCCAGGATTGGTCAGTTTTCACCTACAGATTGACCTACATGCCACCGGTCATCTGCAGACATAAATTCCATTCTCTAAGGTGGATTTTACATTCTAACTTCCAACAAACCCAGAAGGTTCTGCAGCTCTGAACACATAACGTGTTGTCAACATCATGTTCCCTTCTCAAGGTTCTTCTCTGCCAAGCCTGTCTGCTTATCTAGGCTGTCCTGCACAGAATAAAGGACTGAACCGTTATAATAGTAAATAACCATATAGTCAAATGAACATTAATGATTGATGAATAATAATAATGTTTGATTAATCTGTGCTTAAATTAATAAGGTTGATTAATCTATGCTTCGTAGTTTAATGCAAACCAAATTCTTTTCCACACCCAGAACTCAGTTCTTCTAGATACAAGGTTTTGATAAACACACACTCACTATTCAATCACCACACATCACATCCCATCCACTTAGATTCAACCATCACAGTAGTCTGAGGCCTAGTCCACACGTAGCCGGGTTTTTAAAAAAAACGAATATCCGCCCCTCCAAAAACTTGCATCCACACCACCTCGTCTTAAAAAGAAACTCTGTCCACACGTACCCGGATAAAAACGTTGTTAAGGACATGCCAGACCTGTAGGCGGCAGTACTTCCCCCGTTCTTAACCTCATCCTTCGTCTGTGGTGTTCTGCAAGGAGCAGTAATTCCGCTTGCAAAAACAAACAAGCAAAAAGCGCTTGGACGATTGATAAAGCGAGCGCAGCTCTGAGGGCATCCATGCTGTCGGCTAGTGTAAACACAGGTCGCACACGTGATGTCAGCATTTTTTGTCGCGGAAAGTGACGTCACGGACCTTAAAACTCCGGTTTTGTCCGTCCACACGCAGACACCCAAAACGGAGAAAACGCAGATCTTCACTTTGGCCGGAGTTTTTAAAAAGATCCGTTTTCGTGTGAAAAAACTCCGTTTTCGTGTGGATGACAGGCCAAAACGTAGAAAAATATCTACGTTTTGCCAGATCCCTGGCTACGTGTGGACAGGGCCTTAGTTAAACTTGTCATGTTTTTATTTGTTTACAGAATAAATTTCTTATCTTTTACAAACCTGACTCTGTCTGAATTGAGACGAAGTGTGTTTGATCCCTGAAATGGCAAAGAATCCTAGAATCTTTTGATTAAACATCCAAAGACCAAGCAGGTTGACATTCTATATTTATATAGAATATCACAGCTTATTGGTCATAAGTAACGGTAATATATGAAGCTTAAAAGCAACAATATTTAACCCTACACTTTCGATTACTGGACAACCTGCTCTACCTCCTGAGCTACTGCTGTCTCTACAATAATGTTTTATCTTCACAAATAACACCTGCCTGGAGGAGTTCTGCCACATGGTGGAGTTGCTAATGCTAACAGTTAGCTTCTATTAGCTTAGACGTTCTCTGCTGTTTCCTGGACGCTAAAACAACAACGAGCTTCCCCGTGATGGGCCAAGATGGGTGAGTCCATGAATGTTAGTGACAGAGTGACGTAGATTTGTCAGGATTTTCTAATCCTAGAGTTTCACCATCTGTTTCCATCAGAAGCTAATGCAGGAGATAGGTGTAGGAGACTATTTTCACGTTCAGCCTGCATGAAAAAACAATTATAGTTGACCAATTATAATCAGAAATAAGATTTTAAATGTTTTTCAGTGAAGCACACCTTTAAGACAACAAGACAAATGACGTGGCCACACACATGCAGCTTCACTACTACTATTAATATATTTCCGTTCATGTTCCACGGACAGATCTGAGATAGCTGCACGTCTTTCTTTACAGCCTACCTCGGCTCCCGGTTCTTCCTCACTAGTGTGACAAATGTGTCTATCTCAGCAGCGGTGATGTGTTTTTCCAGCAACTTCCGATTGTTATGGAGAAGAGCTGTTATTGTGTCCTCTGCCAACACATCATATCCAATCTGCTTCTGCATGAAACGGAACTGCTTGGCGATATATTCCTGTGAAGATGAAATGAAAATGGAAGAAAACGCTTCACTGAGAGTCTTAAATAGCGCTGTGGAGTTAAACCCACTTGGTTCTTCCTGTAATCCTGCTGAGAATGGCGGAGGACCCTGTAGCAAAGCCTACAGATGTGTCTGAACGGAGCGTGGCGCTGATCCCCGAGCTCCTCCAGGCGCAGCATGGGGCCATCACCACTATCTGTGAAGGGGGCTTGGAGAAGTTTGAAAATCTGTTGAAGACAAAATAAATAAATAAATAAATAAAAAGCCGTTTCTAAAGATTTGCTAATGTAACTTTTTAAATCAGACCACAATAAAGCCAACCTGTTTAAGAATGTTTTGCTCCCTCATTAGTTTTTGTCTTTCTCTGTTTGGTTTGTTGACCATGATCTCCAGAACATCCTGGCCACTGTTGGGAATGTCTACCACAAAGAAAACCAGATCTTCCAGGAGCTTGGTCACAAACCTGAGGGGTACGCAAATCAGGAAGACGAAAAAAGACAATGTTGCTCACTATAAACATTTAACCCCACAACTTGTTGAATGTTTTAGTGAAACATGTTTCCCATCTGTCTGAAATACTCTACACTAATGATATAACATCTGATGAAGAACATTCTAGGTTCACACAACAAAACTGGATCATTTTGAACATTTTTGACCAGTTCCAGGCATACCTCCTTTCATTTTGTGTGATGGTGCCTTTCTCCAGTTTGCCAGCGATGGAAGCCAACACTTTACTTGCATCATTAGCAAAGTCTAAATCACGCACTTCTGATGGAGGCACTGGGACTATTGCAAAGGCTTCCTTATCTTCCTTTATTCCTGATGTTCCAATCTAAAAAAAGACATTCAACAATTTATTAAAAAATAGACATTTTTCTAATCAGTTCAAACCATATTACACTTGGAGTACTACAGTAACCATCTCCTCACCCGTAGCATGACAGGTTTCTCCTCCTCTTTGTCGATAGGGATGTTGGTGCTATGAACCCATGTGCCGGAGCACAAGTGTCTCAACCTGACGTAGGAACTCCTGGAGGTCAGAGAGAGTGGAGAAAAATGGATGCAAATCAAACTGCTAATGGTAATTCAATGTGGCAAAAGACACTAGACATGAGATAGAGTTAAGAATGGACACAGTGATTGTACACTATGTGTCACATTAAAGGTGGGGTAAGAGAAAACAGAGAATGTTGGTCTTCGTGGAGTTAGGAAAAGCTTGTTGGAGTTAACCAGCCACACAATACAAGACCAAACTCTATAAAGAAATGTGTTGAAAATGATGTGGGGATGCTGTCTATAGAGGAGATGGTTGAACGCAGATGCTGCACTACATACATGTAAAGTTAAAGTTAGTCCCATTAGTCATCTCCACACACTGGCCAATTTGACCCATCCCCGTGGGGAGTGGGGAGCTGCAGCTGTGGCAGCGCTCGGGCACTATTTGATGATTAGGTGATCCCATTTATTAAAGTCTTTGATATGAGCCGACTGGATTTGAACCCTGACCTCCCAGTCCCAGGGCAGACGCTCATACTACTAGGCCACTGAGTAGGTGGCATAGAGGAACACAGAATCATTAAAAGCAGCAGAAGAAGGTCCAGCAGACAAAGACTTGGGACTTTCTAGAAAGAGTGTGTCCCATTACATCTGAAATAAAGCCAAAACTGCATTTCAGGGTCAGACATGGTGGTGGCAGTGTGATGGTCTGGGGCTGCTTTGCTACTTCAGAACTTGGAACACTTTCCAATATTGATGGAACTTTGAATTCTGTTCTCTAGCAGAAAATCCTGTAGGAAAACATCTGACATTAGACCTTTAACAGGTTATTTATGCTGGAAAATTCCAGCATAATTTTTGAAGGAGTTTCTAATATATTTGGAAACATTACCAAAGTGTCTCCATTATATTGCATAAGTTGTAGGAGCTGAGTGCCATGTCAATGGAATTTTGAACATGTTCAAACATTTTATATCATAAGTGTTTACAGAACTAGGTTGAATCAGGTACAGGTACATCTAATCAATACAACTCCCTCACAGTAGAGGCTAACAACTCATCAGGAGGCAGGGACGATGGGTACTCATAGGTAGTTTCTGTTCATTAAGCAACAACAGACAACTACAGCTTATACGCATGACCCCCTATATTCCAGTCAGAATTGACAAAGCTCCTCGAATGAAAAGCAAAAAGTCTTCAAGAAACCAAAGAAGTCTAGCTTCTTCATTTGAACCCCCTTGGGTTACCAAAGGTTCAGATTAACTTGAAATTTAGTGAACTAACCGTTCACAACCCCGTGAGAGACTGGTTTTAGAAAATCTGCGTATTTGCAGTAGAAAATCTTTGCCAAAAGATTTGTGCAATAATGAGACTTTTATTTTACTTCTACAAAATTCTAATTTTATATTAGATAATACACAAAACAGGAAGGCTTGCCATCAAATTTAAAACCCGTCCCTCATTAATTACAAGTCAGGTAGGATGGCTCGCTGGCTATTTCAAGGCGAGTGCATTTCAAGTGTGTTGCTCGCTTGTGACATGTTGAAGACCCCTACTCTCACCACTGCACCTGTTACATAAAAATAGTCACCTAACAAACATTTCTTTGGGGCTGCCAAGCACCTTTCAGCCGAATCTTATAGCTGTGCTTTGTCATAAAGTCTATCTAATTATTTAGGTCACCAAGCAGAATTGGGATCACTACTGAGTGACTAAGGACGTTTTTACACACAATGCTAGTTGGATCCATTCACTTACTGTGTTTTGATAATGATAAATGACCCACACTTGTATAGCACCTTTCAGAGTCAAGAGGACTCCAAAGCGCTTTACACAGTGTATCATTCATCCATTCACACACGCATTCTTTATTCACAGAAAGATAGATTTCATGAAAAAGCACTGCAAACCTCCATACAAACTCCGTATGAGCTTCAGGTCGCTGGTGTTCCACACGGTTCCACAGTTAGCTCCGGTTGTAGCTAGGTAGCTACCTCCATTAGCTTAGCTCCCACCTCCGCGTTAGCTTTGGGTTAGCTTCAGGTTAGCTTGTAGCTACATCGCTTCAGCTTGACCGGGTGTCGTCATTTGATCCCAGCCTTACAGCCCCACCCTCAGCTCCTCCTCTCTTCCCTTTTGTGGAATTGTCTGGGCTTGACGGAACCTGTGACATGGTCAAAACGGCGGTGGTGGCCACCTCCCGTTTTAGCTCAAAAACTTATTATTGGAGTCTATGGAAACACATTGTCCATATGTGTGTGTGTGTGTGTGTGTGTGTGTGTGTGTGTGTGTGTGTGTGTGTGTGTGTGTGTGTGTGTGTGTGTGTGTGTGTGTGTGTGTGTGTGTGTTATTAACTGACTCCTGGCTGGGGTCTGAGAGATGGGGTCATTTCATGCAGAGCAGACAAAATATGCAGAGACAAGGATAATCGGCAGCCTAACTTTACAACTACAATTTCACTTCTAAAAACTAAAAATAGCTGGCAACAAGATTTAAAGAACAATCGGTTGGCTTGGTTGAGCTAATTTAAAAGTGCAAAAGAACCATAATGAAGTGTTCTTATTGTTTTCTCTGAAGGTGCCACATTCAGGGTGGCTCCTTTTGCTTTAAAGTGACAGTGTGTATTTTTCCTAGCGATAGGGGGCAGTAGGTACCTAAATCATTGCAAGCAAGCAGTATTTCTGTGTTGGAGTAAGACCTTACCAACGGATGTCCATTAGGGTCAAAAAGCCAAAATATCAAGCACATCAGACTCTCTTTCATCACTGGCAACAAGTGAAGAGGTAAGTGGCCTGTATTTGATACAGCACCTTCTAGAGTCCTGGAACCCCACAAGGCGCTTTACAACACAATCGGTCATTCACCCACTCACACACACATTCACACACTGGTAGTGAGCCACAGCTGCCCTGACAGAGGCGAGGCTGCCGAGCACTGGCGCCAACGGTCCCACCGACCACCACCAGCAGGCAAAGTGGGTTAGGTATAGGGCTGGGCGATATGGCAAAAATAGAATATCACGATTTTTCCAATATTTTATCACAATTTCGATTTTATCACGATTTTTTATCCATGAATAGCATAACTTCAATTGCGTATTAAAGAAGAGAAACATTGAATAAACAAACATTTATTCATATTAAGCTGGGACGTAATTTTGGGGGGGGGACGGGTGGGACATGTCCCCCCCACTTTTTCAAAAGGCAGTTTTGGTCCCCTGCACTTTTTTCCGTCCAAAAACAATGTTACGCTCCATTAAATGGATTTGGTTGAGCACTAGGACCGAAACGGAAACCGCTTTACTATTAGACCCGCCCAAAAGCTAATCTATTGGCTCTGCTGATACTTGCTAACGTATTATTGGCTGTTGCTGCTGTCACTCAAGTTGTAAACAGTCAGAACGTGCTCACGTTGTTTTGCTAGTTTGGAGCCGCTAGAGAACACCGGTACTGAGTCACATCGTCAACTAGACGCTGTGTAATATCAGAGCTCAGCTCAGCTTCCATTACATAACATTTGAATAAGTGTTCATTTGTGAGTCTTTGGTAGTTAGGCACAGCCAGGAGGCAGCATGTCAAGAAAACGAAAAGTGGATATAAGAGACTTCTTTCAAAGTCAAAACGTAAGTTGGAACATGTGACAGACCTGCATTAAGCTCAGACTCACCTCCTCCTTCACAAACATACTCAAAATTAACTTTTACAAACTCATCTCCTCCACATAACTGACTCCTCAGACACAATTTATTCGTATTATTATAATTATTATTTTTTTTATTATTACTATTATCATCATAATTATTATTACTAGTAGTGGTAGTAGTAGAAGTGTAACTTCAAAACTTTTATCATTTAACTTTATTGTAAACTTATCTATTGCAATGCATATTTTCACATTAAAAAGCTCTGAAAAATGAACAGTATCATCATCGTCAACAGATTTTTTTAAGCTTAATGTCAAAGATGTACACTTTTCATTAGATTTATCTTATTTTTTCCATTTATTTTTTGTGTGTTGAAATGCAACAACTGTTTAAACACTTTTAAGGGGAAAAACATATTTAATATGTTTTTATACACTCAAATGTTAGGGTGATGATCATGTGTAAAACATTAGTTCAGCATGTCCTCTAACACAGCAAATGAACAAACGGCCAGATCTCAGGAGGGACCGTTTATGTATAAATAATTTTTATACTTTTGATAGGCCTGGGAAAGTAACACATTTTGCTGGTCTGGACGATATTTTGTCCAACAAATTGTTGATGATAAACGATATTGTCAACATTATCTAGACCAAAATAACCACTAATATAATGTTAATATATCATAATAATGCAAGTACACCCTTTAAAATGCAACAAAGAAACCTTCATTTAACATTGAAATGTCCAGAACCAGAACTTCTAAATGAATAAAAATAACAAACAAAAATTAAATAAAAAAGGAATCTCACTCCCTGTTAGAAAATGTTGCACCAAAAACAATAAAAAAAGACCCAAAACAATAAATACAATGGCCTATCCATTGTCAACAGCCAAAACTGCACTTCAATAATGATAATAAATAAAAATAATAATAGAGTTGTAAATTTTTTAACTTTTATATATATATATATATATATATATATATTGAGGATGGAAAAATTATTGAGATGGGCGCGTGACGTGTCAAGGGGTCTTTACATAACACCCCCCACCCCAAATCCGCACAAGCCTGCTGTGTCCCCCCCCACTTCTGAAATCAAAATTTCGTCCCTGATATTAAGGATAATCAACACAGTGCTCACACACTTATATTTTAAACTCACAATAGAGATGATAAAAGCCCTGAGAGAAACAATTACAAAAATCTTTTTTTCTCGTTTTTCAAGTAACTTAACATAAATTAAAATCTTAAACATATTTAAAGTGCAAACATGTCAATTGCAAACGTATTGTGCAAACATTAACTTGTTCAAAATACTATGCAGCTCCCAGTTGCTCATGTAGTGGATAGTTAAGCTCAAATACGGCTCTGATGTGCGGCTGGACCAGAGATCGCTTGTGGTAGCAAAAAACTGCACATTCTGAATATTTTCTGCAACGCTCACGTTGCATTAAGCGTACATGCGTGGAATGGCGGTGTTCGAAAAATACTTGCGGATGGAAAACTCGTAGCGCGGATCCAATGTTTTTATCATGTTCCTACTGTTCGCACGGGACACAAATCTTTAACCAAGTGGTACGTCACTGCATCTGTCACGCTGTTCCATCGTCTGCTGTCTCTGTCGTAAGGAGTGAGTTTTGTGAGTTTTCTGTTAGTGTTTGCTGCCTGGAAGAAGCACTAGCTGCTGCAGCCGCAGGCTTTTTAGCTTTAGCTGCCAGCTGGCTCTCATTGTATTGTTTGGGATGCCTTCTTTTCAAGTGATTAAACACGTTTGTGGTGTTGCCATCACTTGCCTTGACGCTCTCCTTGCAAATGACGTTTCGCTGCTCTTTGTCATCTGGTGAAAAACCAAACCAGTTCCATATAACAGACGAGGCGTTCCTCTTCGGAACGAAAACCTCGCTGTCGCTCAGCCGCGGCCAAAGCCATGTTCACACACAGGTGAAAACAAGCGGGGCACTAATATATTACTATGACTCACTCTGATTGGTTAAGGGTCAAACAAAGGCGTGTCATTCGCCTGAGGTAAGTTCCCTTTTCATTCAGAGGCACAAATTCAACAGCAGAGCTGTGAATCGTGATAAAAAGGTCTCTCAAATATGACAGACCATCAGATGTGTAGATCGTAAAACGGTCTAAAATCGTCATATCGCCCAGCCCTAGTTAGGTATCTTGCCCAAGAACACAACGACAGCGTCAGACTGTTCGTGGCTCAAACCTGCAACCTTCCGATCACAGGGAGAGCACTTAACTCCTGTGCCACCGTCGCCCTCATGTGTAAAGCAACAACAGTTAAGAAGGGTGAACGTTTTGTAACCTTTTGTAACAAATCCGTTAATGCACTTTGTCCTCATGGGCTCCCGTCGAAGGAAACACGGCATCTAATATGGCGTCGCCCAGAGACTTAGACCTGCTCCCATGTATTTTAGATCTGATTTTCATGGTTATACAGTATGCTACAAACCCGCCAATATTTTTCAACAACTGGGCATTATTTATTTCATTTTCAACAACATTTTGATGGATATTTCCAGAAATGAATGGTAAAAATTGCACATTCTCTCTTTAAACAGAAAACCAAGGTAAGATTTTGTGATTGAAGGTTTCTGCCAGATAACGAGGGAGGTTGGTACAGAGAGGGCTTACGTAATCTCTGGTTTTATTTGAGTTTTCACACCAGACGATTACTTCCTTAAAGGGGCATTATGGAAGTTTGACAGCCAAAACATGTATAGAAATAATAAATGCCTTCTTCATACATTCTCCTGCAATGCCCTGGTCCTGTAGAATGAGCCCTGGCATTTTTACTGTGATTGCCTGTTTTTCTGTAAAATCACAGAAAAAGAGAGCTGCTCGGGTCGAGCAGGCTGCTTCATGCGCGTTGACACTCAAGCATGGCCCGTAGCATTTGCTATCAGTAGCTTTAGCAGCAAAGAGTGAGGTTGTGCCAACTCAGCGACTTTGTCGCTGTTCCTAACGCCTAGAGATGAACCTAGCTACATTTCTGAGGACCCTTAGCTACTTTCTTCTAGATATTTCCTGCAAATTAGCAACAAAATAGCCATTTTCGCTCCGAACCGTTCTTTGAACGTTGTTTCAGCTGTCATCAAGGATATAAATGTTACAGATACAAAAGACATCACTGGCGCTTTAGCTCACCTAGTAAGGTGTTGGACTGCCGTGCAAATGACCCAGGTTCGATTCTGGATGTGAACATAGTTTATTTTGAGTTTCTTTTTAACATTAATGGTATATTTTTTTTACAGTAAGATGCCCAAATTTTTATTTGAGACTCGCCGAACGGCATTGAATTCACAGATAAAAAAGATGTGGGTTCAACTTCCATTTTGGAACAATTTTTCAAGCAAGGGAAGGGCATGATCTGAGCATGCAGGGGGACTGACCCATCATAAACCTTTGTCTGCTGTGCTGAAGAGAAAGGTACAGAACCAAATTATTTAATTAATTAGCTGCGTGTTCTCCTGTTCTCTGTCCTCCGGGCCACATACACATGCACGGGACTGTCTCAGCTGTTATTTTCGTTAAGGAGTGTGCACGTACAGCATGCACGCCTCATGTACGAGGATACTATTGAAGCTGCCCTTACGCTTTTGGCCTGAGGGGGCAATCGCGAGCATAAAAATTCAAAACTCCGTAAAGTCCCTTTAATACTACTTCAATGGTGAGATTTTGATGGGCAGTGCAAACACACACTCAGGTGTCAAACGCTTATTTGTAAGTTGAAAAACAAACTGAATCTCCCACTACAGTCTTTTTAATAAATAATTTGTGTAATAAAACAGCCAAAGAGTGACTGAAAACATCTGGTTAGAACTGGTTCTTGTTACCACAAATGAACACATTTCATTACCTCAGAAACCAAATTGTTCAGAAATTCCCTGAACAGAACTCACAAGGTGACTGAAGTCACACTCTGAAGTCTTGCCGTGATGACATCACTGTGGTCTTTTTGATAAACCAGTGTTGGGTTTAGATGTTTGTCATTTGTCAAAACAGTTCCCCCAAATTTTTCAACGTTCCTGCTGCTGCTCTTCAACCCTTGCTTTATTTATTTTTATCATCTCAGTTGCTGAGATAACAAGTGGACGACACCAAAACCTTTAAATATTTCAGTATGTATATGTCTTACCTGGGCACCATGGAGTCCCCTCCTCTCAGAGTGGTGGGGTCCAGCTCAAAGATGGAGGAGAGATCCATACCATCAGGAACAGGCGACAGAGTGTACATGATTTTCTCCTGGGGAGCTCGGAGGCGGCCTCGAGGCGCTTCATTATCTCCATCCAGCTGGAAGATTAAGAAATTCGCTGAGCAACTTCTAACAAAAAGCCGCAAAAGGCAAACTAGAATATGTGCAAATATGCACAAAAAAGTCCCTAAAAGCTGGTCGTCACTGAAACAGAATTCAAGATTTAATATTCAGTCTAAAAGAAAGTTTTACAAAATAAAACATTTATCTCTCAAAAGCATTACGCTCCAATCTTATGATTAAAATGTGTTTTTAATCCATGATCAAAAACATGTATGGCTTAATTAAAACTCTACAATGTTGAAACTTTTTTCTAACTTTTATAACATCTCTACCTCTTTAACAGGATTAGTATAATCCTCAAATAATCTGCAGTGTTAAAGCTGCTTTCCGGAGTTTTCCTCTTTCAGAAATCATGTATGATTTGTCAGAAATCCGTAAAAGTGATTATCTTATCATGTACTGTGATATAATATAAGCAATAAGTCTTTTTTTTTTTTTTTGCTAAGCACGCCCCCTGCCCGGCAGAGCTCCGTGCAACAGGAAACTGAGCGCCGACCAGAACTAACCAAAAGCGTTAGACTGCCGCTTAGACGCTTCGCATTTAAGGAATACCTCGGCTGATGGAGAGTTGATGAACTTTTCACGGACAAGAAAGTCTCTAAAATATAAATATATGAAAGCACAGCATGACATGAGAATAATACTCGTAAAACAACATGTTTTAGCTCTGTTTGTCGGCTACAGAAACACATTTATAAACAGAAACGTGAAGTTGCCATATTAAAAAAACAAAGGAGCAGCGGTTTTGTGTGATACGCTTGTCAGCCACTAGATGGTGCCATTGGATAAGAGAAATACTCCGGAAAGAAGCTTTAAACATGCTCGCTAGCCTATACTAGAAAAATCTAATTACTACAGGTTGCAAGTGCTATTGTCATTTGTTAATTAGATACCTACTTAATAAAGGTAAAAAATAAGTTGTGTTTTGAATATATATCATTATGCAATAAACATTTAAAAAATGTCTAATTTCTGATGAGTAATTTAGCCTTGTAGGTTTAAAATGGGTTAAATAAGGTAGAACAGTGACACCCTGTGGTTATCCGATGCCCCCACCAACATAACGATAAATTGATTTTGTAGTACCGCAACATAATATACTTCATTTACAAAAACTAAATTATAGCTAAGCTACTGAAGCTCATTAAATTATGACAATACCTGGAAATTAAAGGGTGTAAAGTCCACCACCTATAGCAGAAAGCGAAGACCCAGAAGATGAGTTCAGAGGAGAAGCACAGAGCACTGACAGAGGGAGAGCTTAAGCTAACTTACAGCAGATCGCTGTTCAGCATTCTCCTCCTCGTAGTCTGGATTCACCTAGAAAACCCAGAGACACCCGGTCCTCAGCATCAGGCACTTTAAAGTGTTACCACACCGCCAGACACAGTCATGTAAAGCAGTCTTTACCTCTTACAGATCTCTTCTACAAAAATAAAAGAACTCTACAGGGTGGGGGGTGTTTCTTTACAGCATAGCCTTAACTGAATTTGCTAAATTGTGAATGTGGAAAATCAGATGTGAGACTAAGCCATCAGCTTGCAGCATCCTTTAGAAACAAGAACAGGACAAATAGGAGGAATATGAAATAAGGTGAATACAGTGGCACACACCTCACCCACCTCTGCAGCCAGGTAACAGCCTGTGGCCAAATGTTTGAACCTAAACAGGCTGTTCCAGTAGCCTGCCCCTCCTCTGCATGGATCATGGTGGACCACCTGTTAACAAGCAAGAGATCTTATAAACCTCTGCTTCATGGCTGGATCACTGCGCTTCTGAGTAAAAATTGTTTATAGAAACAACATAGACAAATAAATGTAGGTTTTTCTTTTTTAGAACATGGTGCACTAACCTCCACTTCCCATAATGCTTTGCTGCTTGTGGCTGAAGTTGCAGATTGCCGGCCAGTGGTTCGAAGGAACACATACTGCTTCTTCCTGTGGTCGTCGCAAGTAAGAAACTTTTCCTGCTCTGCATGGAACAACCGAACGACGTCACCCTGCAGTCACGCCCAAATCAATGCAAGGACAAAAATTACGAAGAAGACTATTTCATGACATTCAAGATAACATTCTGATCAGTGGTTTTCATTTCCGATCAGTGAAGATGCATAGAAACATTAGAAAAAGCCGCTCTGGTACCAACCCCTTTGAGTATCGTCTCCTTGTTGTCGCTCCATTTCATGAACAGAACAACCTTCCAACTCGTGTTGCAATTCACCGAATTAACCTGAAAGAAAAAACAAACCAAGTGAACATTTTAAACATGTGTAAGATGGAGTTTAAATGTCAACTTTGGACTAATTCTCAACATTAATTTTAATAAAACAACTTTATAAAACATTAGTCACCTCATTGCAACCTGGGTTGTCCACGAGCTGATGGCTGCTGGCATGAAGAGGCTGTCCTGCATTTACTGGATTTAGGACAACTTTGTCACCAATCACCACCTGCAGAGGCAACAAGTGCACAACAACAGGATGCTAATCATTTCCAAAATGAAACACTTGCCAACTGGGAAGCAAACGTCCTTTAATTTGCTAAAACCCAACAAATACCAACAGTCTGGGTTTACATTAATGATGCTATTCTTCACATGAGCACTAGAGGGAGCCAACACTGTTTTAAGCATGATGGAACAGGCAGAAAAGCACAAAGCAGAAACAACCATTAATAAAAATTGTATTTTAATGTAATAAAACTTTAATGCTTCTCAACAACTTTCCACCATAAGATAACCTTAGCGGTAATATATCTAATAGGAACTGAAACAAATATTTACTCCTCAACAGAACCCCATCATGTTCTCAGAGAATAAACACAAACTAGTGTGCTCTAAAATGAAACTACCTCCTGGTCCTTTAGAGAAGGGATCAAATGCAGCGGGCAAATCATATCAAATGGATTAATTAAGTCTAACTTCATTAGCCACTTAGCCAGCTTAACTCAATCATGAGTCACAATCAGAAATGGCTGCTTGAGCAGCCGCAGTGTTGTCACTGAGTCAGCAGATTTTCAGGTTCAGATCAAATAAAACAGGCAAGCATTTTGGTAATATTATGTTGTCTTTTTTTTAATCAAGGTCGTTTTTATCAAAGGGAATTTCTGTGCAAATATTAAGTGTTTTATAACATCCCATCTAAATGACCAGTGGCAGATTTCTAATAAAGAAACAAAAAAATACAGAAAGTGTTAAGTTTTTGTTCATTCCTGGTGAACTCTGAAGAAAATAAATCAGTGATGCTGTAGGGATGTGCTAATAAATTGGCCTGTGTGATTTATTGGATGTCTACTAATTTAAAAAACATGAATATTAAGCCAAAAAACATTTATGTGCACTTATTTTCTCTTAAAAATATACACTAAAAAAGTATAGTTCAATTAACTGTACTGTTAAAATACTGGTGTAAAAAAATTCAAAGGTACCCAGCCATATATACTGTATGTCAGTAGAAAGTATCTTTATGCACATCCATGCTTTCGTTCTTTTTTTAAACACAGAAACAGTTTTGTTTACCTGTTTGTAGCTACAGTTTCGCCGACGGCTGCCGGCTTCTTCAGGCTGACGCTGATGGTGGCGCGTCACTTCCTTCTCCATTTATCTGCGGGCAGCAGAGGACGTTGTCGCCCTCTACTGCCCGCTCTCCCCTCTCCGACGATGCAGTCCCATGCGTGGTCCAGCGTGTAAACTCCGTCGTCCCTGTTCATGGTCCCACATCCACGTCTCCTTATCTCGATTGCTTCCTTGATCCATCTTTTGTATTTTTGTTGTTCGGTGGTTATGATCCGTGTGCTGTCCCAGTCCATTATATGGTTTTCTCAGCCGTAACAGATCATTGCTTAAGAGAAAACCATATAATGGACTGGGACAGCACACGGATCATAACCACCGAACAACAAAAATACAAAAGATGGATCAAGGAAGCAATCGAGATAAGGAGACGTGGATGTGGGACCATGAACAGGGACGACGGAGTTTACACGCTGGACCACGCATGGGACTGCATCGTCGGAGAGGGGAGAGCGGGCAGTAGAGGGCGACAACGTCCTCTGCTGCCCGCAGATAAACGGAGAAGGAAGTGACGCGCCACCATCAGCGTCAGCCTGAAGAAGCCGGCAGCCGTCAGCGAAACTGTAGCTACAAACAGGTAAACAAAACTGTTTCTGTGTTTAAAAAAAGAACGAAAGCATGGATTTAGAAAGACACAGCAAGAACACACCTAAGATCTTTATGCACATTTTCCATATAAATAAAACAGCTGATCTGTGGAATTTCACAGGTGATGAAGGCAACTGAGAGGTCAAGAAAAAAGCAGCTTCCCCGAGACTAAAATCGAGGCTCTTGTGGGTGAGGTAGAGTTGTGACAGCATAAATAAACAGAAGGCGTACAAGTGGCACTGCACAAACGGCACAGGGCCAAAACCTTCTGTGGATAACACAGAAGCTCATCACCAGCCAAATCAGACTCCCCTCACTCACTCGTGTATGAACATTTGCTGCTGTATGGACATACTGATATGATCCCTGAATGCAACAGATTTTCAATCTTAATCTCAGTTTAAAGACGGCATGAGGGCGGACCGGTGTGTGTGTGTGTGTGTGTGTGTGTGTGTGTGTGTGTGTGTGTGTGTGTGTGTGTGTGTGTGTGTGTGTGTGTGTGTGTGTGTGTGTGTGTGTGTGTGTGTGTGTGTGTGTGTAAGTGTGTGTGTGTGTGTGTGTGTGTGTGTGTGTGTGTGTGTGTGTGTGTGTGTGTGTGTGTGTGTGTGTGTGTGTGTGTGTGCATACAAGTCTGAAAATGTGGCTTAAACTCACCATTAGCCATCTCACCGCATATGCTGCCAGTGTCCCCATCACTAGAATGCGTGTGCACAACAGTGAAGCTGCACACATTTTCTGAGCGAATTTCAGAAATGAGGCCCCATGTCATTTAATTTGTTGACTTTGTAATATTGTCCAATAATGGCAAGACAACTCGACTAACCAGCTCAGTGGTCTAGTGGTAGAGTGTCCGCCCTGAGACTGGGAGATCAGGGTTCGATTCCTGGTCGGGTCATACCAAAGACTTAGAAATAAATGGGACCCAATGCCTCCCTGCTTGACACTCAGCATTAAGAGGTTGCATTGGGGGGTTAAACCACCAAATGGTTCACGAGCGCGGCTGTGTCTGCAGCTCACCACTCCCCCAGGGGATGGGTCAAATGCGGAGAACAAATTTCGCACACACATCAGTGTGTGTGACAACTAACATGAATTTAATTTTGACTTTAACTTGACTACTTGTCCAACAACAAGACAAATTGGTTTAAATTAAGACAGATAATTGGTGGTCAACATTCTTCAAATTTGGAAAATGGAACATGTTAAAAACTTGAGCTCAGACGTAGTGACTGTATGGGCGAATGCTGTTTTGAAAATCTAAGCTTCACTTCTCCTAGGCATAATTAGCTTTAATCCCACACCGCGTTCTACCCACACTGTCTCCCAGGGATCTCAGCTTGTAGAAGGGCTGGATGTAGAACCAGGATCCCTCATTTCCCGCCAAGTCCAGAGTCACTCTCATGGCATTCTTCTCCAAGAGCGCGGGTAGACGCTTGTTCACAGTCAGGTATTTATTGCTTTTCAAGTGTAGCAGCTGTTGACAAAACAGAAAGTGTGTCACACGGTTGCAAAATACCCAACAACTGCTTTTCAGGCAGAAGTGGAGGTGCATGCATACAGAATGAGGAAAATCTGGTACAGCCAGATTAAATGAAACATTTTCAAAAAGATCACCTGTCCTGGAAATGTTGGTTTCTTTAAACATGTCAATAGATCAGCTATTATACTGTGAAACTCCACAAAACATCCATCCATTCATTTTTGTCCACCGAGTCGGGTTGTGGGGGCAGCAGAATAAGCAGAGAGGCCCTTACATCCCTCTCTCCAGCCACTTGGGCCAGCTCCTCTGGGGAAATCCCAAGGCGTTCCCTAGCCAGCTGAGAAACATAAGCCTTTTTTTCCAGGAACACTACTCAGAGTAACTCGGACTGATGCAGCTCGGCCCGACCGCTGTTCCTAACGGCACGGTTTAGTATTTTCCTACTTTCTCCCCTATTTTTAGTCCCTGCTCCGTTGAGGTACCTGGCAAGGCTTAGCCAAGCTGGCATCATGATTCTGGCCGCTGATTGGCTAAGGGGCGGAGTCACAGATTGCTCCAGAGTTTTTTGCCTTGTGTTTCACTGCCTGTAGCCATTTCCTGGTTCAGCGTCTGACAAAAAGATATAAACTGAGCCAGCAACACCAACGTTATTCAGCCGAGTTGTGTTTCTGTGGAGCATACAAGTTACGGTACATTACATTGTTAACTGATCACCTCATGTTATTTTGTCATGAGTAAATATCGCGCACCCCGCGCACTCTACTCTGAGCCCCTCCCGGATGACTGAGCTTCTCATCCTATCTCTAAAGGAGAGCCCAGCCACCCTGCAGAGAAAAGTCAATTTGGCCGCTTGTATCCGCGATCTCATTCTGTCGGTCACTACCCAAAGCTCATGACCAGAGGTAAGGGTAGGAACGTAGATCGACCAGTAAATCGAGATCAGTACAACGCCTGCATCACTGCAGACGCAGTACCAATCCACCTGTTGATCCTGTTCTCCATTTTTCCCTCACTAGTGAACAAGACCCCAAGATAAACTCCTCCACTTGGGGCAGGACCTCATCCCTGACCCAGAGAAGGCATTCTACCCTTATCCGATTCAAGACCATGGTCTCGAATTTAGAGGAGCTGATTCTCACCCCAGCTGTTTCACACTTGACGACAAACCGGTCCAGCAAAAGCCAGAGATCACGTTCTGATGAAGCCAACAGGACTACATCATCTGCAAAAAGCAGGAACTCAATATTTAGGCCACCAAAACAGATCCCCTCAACACACTGGCTGTGCCTAGGAATTCTGTCCATAAAAGTTATGAACAGAATGAATGAAAAAGGGCAGCCTTGGCGGAGTCCAACTCTCACTGGGAACGAGCCCGACTTACTGCCGGCAATGCGTACCAAGCTCTGACCCATCATACAAGGACCTAACAACCCGTATCAGACGGCCTGGTGCCCCATACTCCCCAAAGTACCCCCCACTGGGCCTCCTGAGGGACGCAGTTGATTGCCTTCTCCAAATCCACAAAACATGTAGATTGGTTGAATGAATTCACACAATTCTCACAAATTTTTGCTTTTTTTTGGTCACTTTGTGTTTGACAACAGCAAATAAATGTCAGTTTCAGACAAAGATAACCTGAGTAAACACAAAATGAAGACTTCATTAATTAAAGGTCTTACTCCCTTACTTTTTCATACCTTGTGAGTCACTTCTAGTAAAAAATAGTGCTCTTTTGCTCTGTTTTCAGGGGATAGAAGATTGTTTGGATATACCAACTTCTCTTCTGATTGGTTAACACCAACAGAACTTTTTGGCTAACCTTGTTTGTTCTTCTTTCTTGGGTAATAAATGCAACATTGAAGTTTTATCTCCGCAAATAACACAAGCTTGAACCTGATCTGGCATGTTGTGAAGTCATTATTGCTAATGGTTAACTTCTATTAGCCTATTTATCTCTTCTCAAATAAATGCAGATGACATTCTGCTCCTTTAGGGATTCTGAGTTTTATATACTGTCTGAGTTACTAGAGTGTCTATAAGCGATCACCAGCTGGCTAGAAGACAACTTCCTTCAGTTAAACTCTGAAAAGACTGAATGTCTGATCATTGCCCCAGAAAGCATGGCTCCCCTGATTAGTCAAAATCTTGGTCATTTATCTTCTGCCGTCAAGTAACACTGACAGAATCAAAAATCTAGGAGTTTGGTTTGACCTGTCCCTGACTTTTGACTGTCTCCTGACTTGCATCTAAAGAAAACAGAATTGCTTTATTTCACTTGCAGAGAATTGTTAAATTACGTTAATTTCTATCAGACGCAGTTGCGGAAATCCTTGTGCATCTGTTTGTTACATTTGTTGACAGGATGTTGGTTTCCTGACATGTAGTGTTAGCTTTACTTCAGATGAAACGGGGCACACACCTTCCAGAAAGTCCAAACTCTTTGTCTGCTGGACCTTTTACTGTTTTAGCATTAGTTTGACTCTAGGTGAAGGAGCACACACCCCTTCAAGATAATCTCACAGAAGGATTCCCCTAAATACATGGGGATTGTCAAAATATGCTTTGTGCAAATGGGAGACCAGGCTATTTTGGTCAGCGGAGGTTTCGGCCGTGTAACTCATGACAACAATCCAAACCCAAGTGAGTCCTGCAGAATTTTAGATGTTGATCTCAGTCGTCTAGCTCTGAATTTCTTCAGACAGAGGCAAAATGTTTTGCTGTTTGGGCTCTTGAGCCTACCTCGTGTTGTTACAGGTTCTACTGAAGTGATTTTTGAATTCAGAAATAAAACATGTTTTCATGCCTCTTGACAACATTCTCACATAGTATATCTATAAAAATATGTTGTGGAGATTCAAGAAAAACGTTAAATAATGAAGTGGTTCTCTTGCACTTGCATAAAAACCACAGCCAATAACACGTTTCGGACCAAAAGCAAATATTAAACCCTCTGGTTGTCAGTCTCGTGAAACCCGCTGCACTTCCCTGGGTTCTCCACTCATTACACACTTGTGTGTATTTAGCAACAGAACACCAATGGTGTGAGAGATTCTTCACTCAATAATATCAGAAAAGGAGAGACAGCCGGCTGCTACCACTTCAACTTTACAACAAACTACCACAGTCCCAAAATGAAAAACAACATTTGAAGTCACGGACAACAAAAGACGTTTAGACCTAGAAAATAGTGACTGGTGTTAGCGCTCTCTCGTTTACTTCAGCATCACGGGTATCCAGTTCCATCGCGTCTCAGGGAAGATACCCGAGGTGAGGGGTGAATGTTTTGTGGTTGTGTTGGCATTCAAAACCTAGCTTGTTTGCAGATTTGCCACAACAGCTTAAATTCATGATTAAACATGAGGGATTTTTTTCCACATGAGACTATTAAATCATTATAAAAAGGCAAATGATTTGTTCCCTTGCTTCTAATGAACGCTTACATGATAACACCTTCATGAACAAAGCGGGTTAAGGCTTTCAAACCGTCGCCTTTACATCACATCTCTATGCTGTGCCAATTATTTAAAACTTCACTGATTAGAACAGAATTATGGGCTGTATTATCAAGCACACAGTGTTGCTGAACAGTACTGCAGTGCTGTTACACGAGGCCCCTTATCTCATAGGTCCAACTTACCTGGATTACATTTCCATACTGGATGACTGTCCCCAGCAGCTTTCGGTTTTCAGACTCATTCTGCTTCTTCTCCAGGTCAGCAGCATGCTAACAAGACAGCAGAAGACAGAAATGTTACAGATATTTTCCCACATAATTTATGAGTTATTCTTACATGGAGTTTGTTCAGGAGGACGGTATCAGTGGTGCTGTTGCCTCCTGGTTTGGCAGCTTTCCAGAACTGTTTCTGTGCCGAGTATCTGTTCATTGGACACAGTTTGAAGAGGCAATCTGCAGAAGAAAAGCACAACACAAAGAAGTTGTGGGGGTAAATGCTGGTCCTCTAGTCATCCCATCCCAGACAGCTTATATAAACTCTGCTAACAATATCAATGTTTCACTGAAGAAGATTATTTGTAGGCAGAATCCTATTTTTCCTGACAAATTATATCTCAATGATCAAAAATAAAATAAACAACAAATGATTTATTGAAACTACTATGTAGATTAACAAAAGACTGCTAATATACTTTCAGACTTTCAGGAAAGCATCAATGTTGGGAGTAACGGAGTTATATGGCACTAACCTAGAAATCTAGACAGACTATAGCAGAAGGCAAACACATTTTGCTCTGCAGGTCGACCTAGCCACGCTTCATAGGAGCCTCAGCAGGCCTGAACGGTCTTTTGTTCACTTTGGTGGGCCAATCACAGCACTCAATAGGTTTGGTGGGCAGGATGTTATTGCAACTGAGTGAAACAACTAAGATGGCGGCGGCTCATTTGAAATGGCTTTGGCATAAACTTTGTACTATTTAGATTTTGGCTTTTCTTTGAGTCAAGAGTAGATAGAGGTACTTAAGTCCTTTATTTACACTGAACAAAAATATAAACGCAACACTTTTGTTTTTGCTCCCACTTTTCATGAGCTGAACTCAAACATCTGAAACTTTTTCTACATACACAAAACACCCATGACTCTCAAATACAGTTTTGAAATCTGTCTACATGTGTGATAGTGAGAACTTTTTCTTTGCCAAGATAATCCATCCATCCTCACAGGTGTGGCATATCAAGGGGCTGATTAGACAGCATGAATAACGTACAGGTGTGCCTCAAGACTGCCCACAATAAAAGGCCACCCTGAAATGTGCAGTTGGATCAATACAGCACAATGCTACAGATGTCGCAACCTTTGAAGGAGCATGCAACTAACATGCTGACTGCAGGAATCTGTTACTTGAGGAGTTACTCAGGTAAGATCTTCATAAATCAGCCAGACTGGATACCCTTGACCCTTTCTTTCTGATCATAGCAGCACATGTTATTGCTGCACCCATCATCCATCTATTTAATCTGTCCATACAAATAGGTGCATTCACGCAGGACTGGAAATTTGCATCCATTACTCATTCGGACCTAAGTTGTTATAGGCCTATCTCTATCTTGCCTTGCCTCTCTAAAGTCATTGAAATGAAATGGAATCCAGCAGTATTCTTACCCCCATGCAGTATGGCTTTAGAACTGGCCATTGATGTGTCTCTGCAATGCTTAAAGTGCTAAATGACATCATATGTGCCATTGACAATAAGGAACATTGTGCAGCTGTGTTTGCTGACTTGGCTAAAGCCTTTGACTCTGTAGACCAGTGGTTCCCAAACTTATTTAGCCGCGCACCCCCATCTATGTCCCGACCATGTCGACGCACCCCCCAGCCCCACATCAGGGCATGGCTATATGATAATTTAGTTTTTCATCTGATAACATGTCAGCGATGTCTGAGGGGCTTTTACAAACACTGTATAACTAATACTCCTGGAGAGGGTATGAATTACACAGAGGCTACTGGGGAGCCCAGTTATGAGGGGGTGGGGTGGGTGGGGTCATTTTGCCTTGGCCCCCAAAATGTCTTGAAACGGCCCTGGGTGTGTGACTGAGTTTTGAAGGTGATCTGAATTGTATCAGATGTATAAATATGACATGTGTGTAACTTATTGTTTTATACAGGTAAAAACGTGTAATGGAGATAAATCTACCTACATTTTACTTTTCAACACTTTGCTTTGTTTTCTTGTTTTTATTTAACTGTTTTCCTGTCCTGTCTGTCTGATCTTCCTGCATCAGAATCAGAAAAAGCTTTATTGCCAGCGCTCCAGCGACCCAGAGCATAGGAACTTGACTCCGCAGCACAGCCTGACCAAGGTTACACACACAAATGTAGACAGAACAGATACAGGCAGACCACGAGAGCAGCCATAACGGCGCTCATTTCAATTAGATGAAAGGGGATTACACAGGGCCGGAGTGGGACACATTTTCAGCCCTGGAGTTTCAGACCCCAGACCGGCCCACTTAACGAATTATTATGAAAATCATGTTAGAACTTTATATGTATAGTCTACAAAAGCACACTACTCGGTAAAGCCTTGTAATTGTAAAGCAAGAAAGAGTTGAAAGAGTTGAGTTGCTTTACAAGAAAGAGCAACTCTTTCTTGTAAAGCAAGAAAGAGTTGCTTTACAATGTAGGTTTATTTGAACATCAGTGCACATCTCCAACATTGTTCTTTACAACACATTCTCTAACAATATAACAATCTACATTCTGTTCAAACAGCTGTTCTGAGATTTTCAAACCTTTAAAATGAAATGACTCAGCACTCCCTTTCACACTTTTTCCAGTTTCCCTAGACTCACCTGCACACAATTAAAATAATCATCTGTAAAGCTTTGGCACATTTGATATGGAAAACACATCTTTGTAACCAATTAAAATATTTTCTATGGCAAAATATGCAGGCTTATTTAATTTTACTTTCATTCTAATAACGATCTGTTGTGGGCTTTGTGCATTTACTAACAGAAATACATCAGGTCACTACTATTATTTGGGCATTAAAATTATTATAATGAAACTGATGTTTGCTTGTTTGCACATGAGTTGGCTCACCTTCTATCCCAACAGGAGCAATACCCTCACTGCTGGCTCCTGGCTCTTCTTCTGACACTACATTGTGTGAAAATTGTCACAATTCAGCATTCATTTTCCTTTTTTACATGCTTTCTGATCAATGCTGAATCATCTAGCATTTTAGGACACTTTCATATAGAGCCAGGATAGTTTTCATCATATAAATTTCAATAATATTCAGTTCACTGACTCAATAAGTAATCCTACCAGTACATGCCCGCTCTGGAATTGTGGGTTTCTGCCTGGTGCTTATTAGGCCTACAGGATCTTGTGTTTGACTCTGACAAGACAGTTTGGTGGCATCAGTCACATCATACTGTAAATTATATTACATAACGTTATGTCATGATGCCATATAATTCATTATTGATGCTTAATTAACTTGAATGGTGATTTGCAGCCGGTAAAGTTTAACATCTTGACTTGCCTTACCCGTTTTATCTTCATTTGAAGTTAAAGACCGCAAGCTTGTTTGAGAAAAAAAGGTGCTCATTTTTGCACATTTAGCTGCATCCAGGGCCAGATTAAGACTTCGTTGTACCCTGGGCAACAATATTCAAGGGCCCCATCATCACGACCCAAGGATCACCATAATATGGTCACATACAGAATATTTTACTGTAATATGCAGTAAATATACTCAATGCTTGAATGCCTGACATCACGTAACCCGCTCAGGGTAAACTTTGACCCACCTTGTGTGGACTGACCAATGAGGAGAGGGTCTTAACTTGAGGCCCTCTCTTCATTGGTCAGTCTGCATGAGACTGACTCTCAACTGACGTTTAGTCATAGGCAGCGAAGCGTCTGTGCAGCACAAAAGCCCGGGTGGACAGTTTGTTTAGTACAGGGTGATCATATTTCCATTTCCAAACAAGAGAACAGGGGATCTGTGCCTATGACGTCACACTATGGCAACACCACACAAACCACGTTGGGACCCATTTTCTTGTAAGAACTAAATTAATATCAGATTCTGCCAATAAAAGGGCTCTAAAACAATTCATATGTAAATATTTAGCATATGTATTGCAAAATCTCATTTTTCTGCTTTAGTGCTGCAACAAGGTTTTAATAATAATAAATTATTATAACTTTTGTTTTACTACAGCATCGGTACGCTTCCTGTGCACAGATTATTAAGGGTGCTTGTTTCAGCTGTGAGATTAGACGATAGGATCAATGATAAAATAAGTTGTCACACACTTCATGGAAACTTTCAGAGAATCCACAAATAGTGGCTTTCAATTTCATCTGATAATATTAGAACATGTCAGTAATGTCTGAGGAGCTTTTATAAACACTGGATAACTAACAATACTGGAGAGGGTAACAATTACACAGAGGCTTCTGGGGAGCCCAGTTATGGGGTGGGTGGGGTGGGGGGGGGGTCATTTTGCCTTGGCCCCCAAAATGTCTTGAAACGGCCCTGGGTGTGTGACTGAGTTTTGAAGGTGATTTGAATTGTATCAGATGTATAACTATGACATGTGTATAACTTATTGTTTTATACTGGTAAAAACTTGTAGTGGAGATAAATCTACCTACATTTTACTTTACACTTAGTTTTGTTTTCTTGTTTTTATTGAACTATTTCCTGTCCTGTCTGTCTCTCGTCTTCCTGCGTCTCCTCTAAACTCTCCAGAAAAAACTGCTGCCAGGATTCTTACTTTTTCACCTCATCAGTTACTTTTGAGCAGATCAAATGGATCTCCTGACCGCAAAGCGGAGTGCGCCTTTCGATGCTGCGTCAGTGAGGTGAAATCACCGCAGCACCGCGCAGCACAGGTGATGAGCTGCGCAGCAGCAGAGCGCTTCAGGCCCAAATAAGACAGAAAATAGAGAATATGTGCGGACATGAACGATCGTGTGCTAATTATAGTTTTTGGGTTGCGCCACTTTGAGAATGGACCGTGCGCTGGACGCAGCTGCCTGGATCGCTGCGCAATAACGCGCTGTGCCGCTCTTTGTGCTCTCTGCTCAGAAGAGTCCATAAATGATGTAATATAGATAGAAAACTTGTTTCCGGCTCCCCTGGATGTGTAAGATATACAGCTCCCCCATAATTAGATCCCTGCTCCTGGATGAAAAGCCGGACATTTTCATCAATACAAGAACCCGCAGTCCGGACGCCCGGACAGAGTGAAAAGTGGACATGTCCGGGGAAAACCGGACATACGGTCACCCTAGTTTAATATAATGCGGGAGATTACAGACATGCCTACAGTATTTTGCTCGTGCGCTTGCTGCCCTGGGCCCCTTAGAGTTCGTGGGCCCTGGTCAATTGCCCAGTTGCCCATATGGTTAATCCGGCCTTGGCTGC